TGACACTTGTACACGGACGGTGTACATGTGCTGTGTACATGTGCTGTGTACGCCTCGGTGTACATGTTCCTCCGTGTACATGTAGAAAGTCCTTTCGAGCCATACCCATTGGTATACAGAACGTTAAACAGGGGATATATTCTTAGTGTGAGAGCGTTAGAAAGGCATACTTATTCCCAATCTAATAGAATAAAACATAAAAACTCTCCTAGTTGTTCTTTTACAAGTTTAGTAACTCACAATCAGTTCTTTGTTGAAAAATTTTCCTCGTGAGGTTAGGCCTTTAGGAACATGATGGTATCTCTTCAATGGAGAGCTTGCGTTTAACGTTCGCAGATAAACTATGAATTATATGACCTGGTTGACGTTTTGTTTGCCAATGGGTATGGCACAGAAAAAAGCAGGTCAACATTAAAAAGATCGGCGTCCTACAATTTAGTTAGCTTTAGTGTGCTTCTGGACTCATAGTGTTAATTTATTTTGCTATGACAAGTTCTCCAACCTCGTTTGAGAAGGAAACATACTCTTGCAGCATAACAGATACTGAAGATCAAGAGCATCAGTGAGTTATCTGTATTTCGCATTCATAAATAATCATGTTCGTTTTTCAGCTATACTTTCTCCATCAAAGACTTCGGAACTCTCAGTTCGACTATTCAGCTTGATGGTAGAATAATGCTATCTCTGGTAAGTACTGCTTACATCGCAATCTCTCCTAATCAATATTTTAGCCTAACGCGTGGGAAGAGTTCAGTTTCAGCTTATTCTGTTTTCCTAATTATTTAGGAAGTTCTTTATTTACTGTAAGGTCTACAGGATTCTTCTCAAAACATGTTTTGAAATTTCAGTTGAGAATGAACACTTTCGATAACTTCATGAACATTGATGTAACGTTCACGTTGATGAACGAGGATGACTCTGTAATTCCGTTTGTTTCGAAAAGTTATAAACAGAGCAACCAACACAAAGTTAGTTTTGTTTTCGTTTGAATACTAAATTTGGATACCCATTTCCAGTCGTTAGAATACACTGAGTATGGAGATAGAGAGCAAATCATGACTGCTTTAACGGGTTCTACTCTTAGGGTTAATGCTCATATTTTCATGAATATGGCATGTTCTGAAGAGATTGAAACGTATTATCCTCGTCAATCAAATGAAGAACAAATGAAAGTGAGTTGGAGTGGTTGCAATCCTTATACTGATAATGTACAGATGATGATGAAAGCTTATCAGGATGCTTACAACGACCAGAGCTTATCTGATCTGAAGTTCATCATATACGACATAGAAACAAAAAAGAAAGAAACTGTCTTTCTGAATAAAGTTTGTACCAACAGATTCTTATCAACATCATTAACCTCTTCTTGGTTTTCAGACTATGTTAGTAGCTCGCAGTCCTTATTTTGATGAAATCTTATCATATAATAAGAACGCTTCTACTTTTGTTGAAGAACAGTTTGAGATTGAAGTGAATTGCGTTTCAATTCGCAGCAAAATTATAAGTAATGCTTGCAGGTAGTCACTACTGTTCTTGCTTACCTATATGGACATCCAATAGATGATTTGGAAGAAGATGTTTTCAAATATGTCAGAATAGCTTTCAAATATGAATTGAGCTATCTTCTGAATAGAATTGACGAGGTACGTTCGAAGAGCGAGATCGAAAGGCCCATGTTCTCGCTTCTGTTTTTTTTCTGTTTAGTTTTTTCTTTCTTTTTAGTTTTTATGTACAAACATGCCTAAAATTGATGATGAACTCATATTTTTGGAGCTGGCAACGAAGTATAATCTCCAAAAGTTTCGGAGAGCAATTATTCAGGGATATGTTGATAATGAAACAAATTTTGATGAAGTAATCGAGATAATATTTTCTTTCATGATTGAATTTTTTATTTAAGTTTGGAAAATGGCAAATGCTTGTAACGGAAAATCCGGAACTGGAAGAAGAGCTCATGAAAGTTCTGTTAATACATGAAGATGAGAGTCAAGTTCAGATGGAGGTTAATGAGACTGATGAGAACTAAAAATTGAAAACAAGATTGTTAACCGTGAATGAAACGTTTGTTACAGGCGAAAATATTTGTTTTTCTTGTTCATATCCTGTTTAAACAGTCAGAACCACACAAATCTCGTTCTTTGTATGAATAAGAGATCATACGCTCCTTTTTCCAGGGTTTGAATTCATTTAATGAATTATGAATTTTCGAAACCTAGTCAAGCGATTTTGAAATGACATATGAAGATAATGAGAAAGTTTCAAGAAACTTATTGAAAGTTGTTGCTAAATTTTTCTTAATCGATGAGCTGAAAAATGAAACAGCAAATCGATCTCTCTTTGAGCGATATAAAACAAATGTCAGACTGTTATATGAATAAGAAAACAGATGCTTGATAACCCAAGTATTACTTATTACTCATAATGGAATGCTCTTCACTCTACCAGCTCAACAGAACATATGGGTTGCAAAAAAATGTTTCTTCACGTTCATTATAACTGTTTATTCGACAACAGAAATCTCACAAGTCAATATTTTATATAAAATATTTAAGTTCTAGTCAACAGTCAATCGGATAGAAAAGAAGATGATAAACGATGAGTAAGTAGAAGTGACCCAGAAAGCGTTCTTAACATGTTCTATGACTTACATTTTGCATTAATCAACTTACGAAAAAATCCAAAAAGTTCATTTATTCTTTCAGTAGCTCCATGAGCTATGAACGTTCGATAACACATCCGAAGATATGTATACGCTCTTCTTAATGCTACTCTGATGGCTTTGAACAATCCTGAAAACGCTATGAATACTAGAATGATACAATGAAAGAACAACGATTATAAAACCGGAAGCTTCGTCTGATTGTTGGAAACAGAGCGCACGGATGAGATGGATCAAGCATTCTGCAAGAAAGCTCGAAGCGACTAGAATTCTGAAGAGAAAAAGATAACTGTTCAATGGTTATGAAGAAAACTGGTTTAGAAAATCAATGCAATAAATGGTAAGGAATGAGAGCAGTTCAACTAAGTTGGGCGTTGCTCATTGTAATTATTTTCACACGCAAGTTAATAGAAAGTAAAAAAAAACGATATTCCATCCAAAGTTCAATTTCCTCTCATTCTAATATCCTACAGGAAAAGAGTCGTTTAGTTTTGATAGCTGTTGCCAATAGCTATGATACGTTAAAAAAAGGAATGGAACCCAAGAAAATTAAATTCCATACCTTTGTTAATATGATGTCGATTATTATTAAACGGGGAACAACTGAAATGAAACCGGCAAGCGGAGGGAATGTCATAGCAGATGAGTTATCAAATTAGATGAATTGCTCATAGGTTTTCCGGTTTTAAGAAAATATTAAGAATTGTTCTATGAAGTTTGGTTGCCAAGTTTGAAATGAGAGACTATCAAGCATACCATATCGAGATTGAACATCCAAAAGTCTGCTTCCAGCAATCTTGAGAAAGTGGTATTCTTAATGCTGGAACTTTTTTCCAGAAAAAGAGAAAAACTTTAACTCTATCAGTGTAATTTCAAATATGTGAGAGTGCTCAATGAATTACCGACAATATTTATAAACTTCAATACAGTAATAATAATTTTAAGATCATTCTTTCAAAGATGATAATCTGTAAAGGGAAATTCTGTAAATTAGGATGATGCTGAACGTGAAACTTCAAACAAATTCACTTTAGTATCAAACCATATAGGTGGATTATTGTTCCTGAAACTATTGATTAGCTGAGCTATTTTCAATTATCCTTACCTGATATAAATAACTCCCCAAGTATATGTTCGGAACCAATGATTAGTAGCTGGGTTAGATTGATACTTTCGTATTAAGATAGGATGAGGAACAGGCAATAAACCAACTAAAGTTCCATTTTGAAGAAACTTGAGAATTTCAGTTTCATCTGTCAAGCCTCTGAAAATATATGAATCAATCAATTATATACTTGACTGAAGCTTACTTATCGATACAAATTTTTTCTACTTGGGGGACTAACACTTGTAAGAGTCTCAAAATTGTTTGTAAAGGAAGCTTGACCATCCACTGCTCAGCCCATTCCGTAGTAGGTTGCCATTCTATGCTCAAATTAATAATAAAATGCATTTTTGTGTTACCATTAGTAGTGGTTGAAGCCGATTTTCCTTCCCATTCTGTCAAGTTTCCTGTCATGCTTGAAGCTTTTGGCGTTGCCGCAAGACCAGCTGTTGTCTCTTAAATATTTTTCTTTATACCCGAAACATTTTTATTTTTCACCAGAAGTCAAAAGCGTAGGAGCTGTCTCAGCAGTTGGACTTTTCAGAGCTTCAACGATTTCCATATCGGTCGCTTAAGCATAGCAGTTATAATTAAATCCATCTCTTTGAAACAAATTACATTTTCCTTTCTTGCTAGCCAATATTTTTGCGATAGAAGAACCGTCTATAGGCAGGTTAGAGAGCTGATAGAACACTTGTCTTTTTCTGATTATTGTATAAACAAGATTGGAATTTCCTGAAAATGTCATTGCTTGATGACGTCATTCCAATAAAGGCCAACCATCAAATTGATATTGGATGATGTTATTAAATACTTCCAACAGGAAGAAAACCAGATGATGATTCGTAGGAGATGAGAACAGGAACCAAGGAGTTGAGAATGCTTCTACGAGATGTAAAAGCTTGTTAGCAGCAACGATAGACAACGACTTCAAATAAGGAGATACTGAAATTGATTATTCAGATTTTTTGATTAAAAAACTGTATTATGGAATAATGATTAGTAATATTCATGATTTAGGCACGATCTCACGTTATATTCTAATCAAATCAGCTGTCATCATTCATGAAATTCAAAAACGATGACAAGTGCGGAATATTCATTCACTCTTACTGTTATATAAGCTCAGAATTCATACACTCTCATTCGTTTCTGATCATCTTTTGTGGAAGAAAACATGCGCTGCTTTTGTCTTTATATTTCACTATGGTTGTACTTCTACCAGTTTCCGGTTACACAATCTCTGACTGACGAAAAGTGCTCTTACACGGGAACCGATAAGTATGGCAACACTACTACTTATCGTTATGCTCCATACAACTGCTACACAGTTATATAGTTACATTCTACAAATAGATTATACTAATTAACCGTTCTAGAGTATGGCATGTGATTGCAACTATATGGAAGCTCTCAACCTTTGCCGTCAAAACAAAGCAATGCTAGCTCGTATGTCACCTCACGATGCGTTTGGACCCATTTATTTTGGTTGGTTCATCTCAAGACTTGAAACAGCCGATGCTTTTAGAACTTTTTGGTCGAAATGGTACTTACGATCCTTCTCAAGGAGCTTGGATAACACGAGTAGCATCGGGATGTCGATCGGTATTTAATATAATTCGTATATCTCAAGCAGTCTCTTTTCCAGTTCACAATGACAAGAAAGGAAGGAACATTGTCCTATCAAGAGATGACAACTTGTGATACAAAATTGAAATACGTTTTATGTATGAAGAGAGCTCGTAAGAACTTGTGAAAACCATATAAATAGCTCTCAAATGCTTTTTCAAATTTTAAAACCTCACCGTTAACGATGATTGTGAGAAGACAGTCAAACAGGGATTGCAATCTATTGTTTCCTGTTGTAATAAGTTTATGAAATACCTAGGATATGTTTTAAAATGAAAATTCAGTAATATTCAGATTCGTACCAGAATGAGAAGATCTGCATGTGTTCCAACAAATGGTTGAACATCGATTCGAACCTTATTGTCAAATGGTTTGTTTAAGCGAACTCCAAAGTTTCTTTCACCACTAAGCAGAAGTATAAGAAATATACCCATATGGATCATTCCAACGCGAGCTGAAACAATGAAACCATCAAATAAAAAATTTGAAAATTTAGATACTTGGATCATTCCTTCCTTCAGCGATATGATAAAGTATTGGAACCAATATTTCGAGAACATCTGATGTTTTTAAAACATAAAACATAAATTTCTGAAATATAAATATATGAAACTCTAATGATGATCAACTAACCTGATTGTATTCACAACATTTCCACAAGAAAACTAAAAGCTCTTGATGAAAGCTAACTTTTTTTGTAGAATTTGGTAGATATGAGGTTTGCAACGGATTGCTTAACAACTTTGTAACACCCTGAATTGAATGTTGTTTGTATATATATATATTATCTGATATGTTATTCACCCGTAACATTAAATCAAAATCTTCTTCTCTATGAATACGACTTAAATAGTTTAAGAAAAAGTTTTCTTTGTAAGCACATTGCTCATCGTCTGAATGATCATTATTCCAGTCAAGACAGGCAACAAGAACCTAGAAATGATATGTAATAACCAGTAAAAAAATATAAGATAACTTGAATGGAAGCTTCTACTAATGGTTCTCTGGTATCATTGAATATCAGATAGTTATATGGTACACCCATTCCAACTGGATCGTATGCACAAACAATGTTCAGAAGGGAAGTGAATAATGGTAATACGTGCCGATTTTCGGCAGACGTGAAGCAATTGAGCCATCGCATTCTGTTCTCATCTGAATTTCTCATTCGTGATAATTATCATATTTTAGTTCTCTACTGACCGTTCACACCGGTATAAATCAATTCTGAGAAGCAGGTCAATAGTAGTTTTAGAATATCTGTGCGATGTATGTCATGCTGCGCGTTGGCAGGTGTTTTTGCACTATAGCCAACACCTGCTTCCCATATATATTCACATGAGTCGACTGCTTGCAAGTTAATGCGATTCTGCACGAACATGAAATTATGAGAAAAATATTTTTGAAAATATCCTACTGAATTGTCGCTTCTCATTGGCACTGTGAAACCAGGGCAGAACAACAGATCCGACAAGCTCGACAACAACAATGAAGCCATAGGTACTTGAGCATTTCCCTGTGAACAATGAAAGTTATTTTCATTTTTTTTTTCAGTAATATTTACATGCGGGATACAAGTCCAAAAATATCCTCGCCATTCAGGATCTTCTTGCATATATGGCATGATACGAGTCAAAACTCTTATGCAGTTAATAACCTTCAAAATGAAATAAATTATGAGATGACGTCAGTGATGCTCACTTTCTTGGAATCTGCAGGAATCGGATTCTCTCGAAAGGCCATTATCTTTTCTAGAGCTTTATAGCTCAATGCTGCAAGATTTTTCGGAGATTCATCGCGCAGCTTACGAATGTCTTCAGTAGGAATCATTGCAAAGAGATCATTCGCGCTTTCAATACTTTCAGACGACCACAGTTGCTCCCAAAATGAATCATCTTCCTTGAATTGCAATAGATAATCTGTGGGAAACAACAACGTCTATACCTGTTTGCTTGCCTTGTTAGTGAGGTTTATAACAGCATCTCTGAAATTCACTTTGCTTTCCTGTGCGCCCATCGTCTGAAATATTTCTATTCGTTAGCTTGTTTGAGTTCTTAAAGGTTGATCAAAATGAAATATAGAACAAGGAGAATCGTACATATGGAATAGGACATCTTCAACTGTGTAATACAAACAAATGATATAGGAAGCAAGCGTACAACCAATCAAAGAAAAAACATTTAAAAGCAAATGAGAATAAAAAAAGATTGCTCATCAAAGAAAGCCATTGTAATGGGCTATGATGACATCTATCCATTAATCGATTTATTTTAATAAAGGACTGTCCTCTTGAATTCAAGTCATCTTTTGGAGTAGCTGCCAATAGAAATATGTCCTTCTTAGATACGCGACGCGCACGCGTTGCTGCGTTGAGAGCGTCATTGTCTTATAATGCGCTGCATCATTCAATGTGCTTTGGGTTAACTAAGCTTTGTGTGATGACCTCATTGAGCATGTGTCCATTAGCTTAATATGAGACTCATTTGTAGCATGCTTTACATGTTTATGGTTATACATCATTTACATAATGTGTTTTAAGAGGACCAGCAAATCTCGGACGAATAGTATTATTGAGAAAATGAGAAAATCAATGAAGATAGCTGTTATCAGAGTGAAACATTGTTATATTTCATTTTCTTTTATATGCTTATGATAAAGATGAAAAAGCGAACTCATAAATGTAAACTTGGAATGAGGTAATGCTATAACATGTTCCTCGAATGTCATGAAACACATGAATTGAGTGGACAAACATGTAATGCAAGAATGATTCATGTGATTCATAACTTTTCAAGTAAATATAACATGTCAATAACCCAATAAAACGAACAACCAGAAGTCATTAGACTAGTGCATATGAACTATAAATCAAACAGTAAACCAAATAATGATTGAAAGTTTCATGTGAAGAATATATCTTGAGTTATATATAATTAAAATGATTTATAATTGAAAGTTAATTTATAAAATGTCAAAATGTTGATGAAAACGAGAAAGATGAGCATGTTTGATGAAAAGAATTGTATGAAGCTGAATGATGAAAAATTATAAATATGAATGTGTATGTGTCATATTAGAACGAACAAAAACTTAATATGATTAGATATGTTTCATGGATATATATCCAATATATCTATTTGGATAATTCTATATGACATTCCTTCTTCTTTTTTTTTTCCATTAAAGCTCTATAGCAAATAGATTAGAAGCTATTCATATTATTCAAAGAGCATCGTTGATATTGATTGAAGCAGAAAAATGGCGTTATTTGTCCATTTCCGTCTCAAAAGCTCGGCTTTTCCATCTCCTGTTAGTAATAAAACAGCAAAAATAGCTTAAATGATGCTTTCGTGAAGAAGCTTCAGGCTGTTTTCAAGCAGATCAGCAGATTTCAAATGGTTTTTCAATTAAATACTCTGCAAATTGGAGCTGAATGAGAGAAAGAGATTACAAACAGATCTTTAGAAGATTAGATATGTCATTTGAAATTAGAATTTTGGATATTATAGTCACCAATTACTTTTAATTAGAATTTTCATTTATATTCATATAAAGCTATGTTTAGACATCATCAGACGTAATTTCTTTTCAGTTAAATAAATATTGAAAGTGATTCTTCAGTCTTTCCGCCTCATTTGTCTTTGTGATATTAGACATCTCGGGTTCAGATGTCTCATTATTAATTCCAATTGAATAAGTAAGCATATTGGGAAGCTTCACTTTTTGTTAATCTAAATGTCCATTTCAACTCTTGTCAAGAAAAGAACTAAACGATGATACAAGTGCATTGATCAAAAAAACAAACAGTTTATTATAAGAACTACAAAAGTATAAAAACAGATGGATTTATCACTTCCTATATCACTGGTCCAACAATGACTTCATATCCTTAACGATATACTGGTAAAGGAGTGTAGCTTCCTTCACATCACCAAACTTCAACAGGAAGGCTTGCACGCCTGAGAGCACAGTCTGAATACATAATTAATGCTAATTCTATGAAAATGATCAATTACATTGTCTCTGAGCAGGCCATGTTTCATCAGTGATGTCATGAACATACATATCATACGGACATTCCTGGCAAGTTGTGATGATGAGACATTAGTTTTCTGACAAGAGTCCATGACTGAGTACACAAACTCTCTCAAGAGATCAGGTTGCAAACCGGGTATATTCTACATATCATTATAATAAAATTCGCCAACCAATGAGGAAATACCTCATATAGACGTCGTACCAATTCCAAGTTCTGGACCGACACATCCATATCAGACAATATTTTCATATAACTGAATAATGAATTGATAACAAGGACGTCCAATTACTCTACTTACGTTATAAGACAATCTGGGTATTTGGAGACAGTTTTGTAAGCAATATCACTTGCAATTTTAACATTTTCTCCTACAAACTTTTTGAGAGCAATTCCCTCAAGATTTTTCAAGCTATCTAGCAATGGATCATCTTCGCTGCAGTCCTTGAACCTCTTCATTAAAGCGCGTAACTCAACAGGACTAAAAAAAATGGATTGATACCAAATAAGGGGGGGGGGATAAACCTCAAGCTTTGGCCTTTCAGAATCTTTTGAATTGAAATCATATCCTGTTGGTCCTCTACACTTGCCTCTTGTTTTGTTTCGGTTAGTACTGTTTGAGGCTGTAACATTGAACTTTAAAGGATGTTCAACTTCGAACCAACCTCCAATGTTAGTTTCTGACCTATATGAGCTTCACATCTAGCTAGCAACTCTTCTGGACTCTCATTTTCCTTCTTCTTCTGAACAGGTGCATCTTCGTCGTAATCTACGTCAACCACATCAAAGTTGCCCACATTGTTATCGTCTCTAGGATTCTAAAGCAGGAAAGTTAGCCTAACTTTTAATCTCAAGTACTGACATGGTCTAATTCGTGCTTAGTAGCTTCTATGAAAGAGAAGAGCTCATAAGTTCCTAAATCTTGAAGAGGAGCCGTCTCAGTTTTCTTCAATAATAAATTAACACAGATACGTGTCATGTCGTCGACAGTGATTGAAGAACTAGAAACAGAATTAAAAGCAACGCTCTAAGCGTATTTCCGTACATATCGACTAATGGTTTCTCATCACAATCAGTAACATAGCCAGGGTATAAGCTTTCTTCATAACCCATCGGCCACCTCATTCGATTCATAAATAAAGACATCGATACAGCTGCAGGTGCCTGTGGAGAAAAAAGGTAAACTATCAATAAAAGCTCAAAACGAACATCAGATTCTAAATTTGCAGTCTCAGCAGTCTTCATGATATCGATTGGAGTCATTAGGCCAAGCTCAGAGCCTTTCCGTTCTAGAATTTTTGCACACATGTAAACCTCGCTTTTCGAAGATTTTTCTTCATACTGAAACAATAGTTGTTAATTAAATGAAATGGCTGAACGTTTACCCCTCCAATGAAGAATTCTATAAAAGGGTGGCCGGTAATGATATCCTTACCCTTAGGATCAGATTTATCTGGCTTTCGTTTCAAGAAAGGATCCAAATCACGAGATCTGAAATGATGAACATTAAAACAAATCAGATCAAAACTTCTACTTATAAATGAGGAACATGAGAACTATTCGAATCTGCACAACTTTTTCACATTTCTCACTGACACTATCGAAGAGATCATGTAATGTAGTGAGACTTACTCCTACGCTCAACACGAAACGATTTTGAAAAGTCTGAAGCAAATAAGTTATCGATAAGTGGAATCATTTGAAATACTTCTAAGAAGAGACTGGCTGTTCTGTTCAAAGGTTTATTCGAAGCAAGAAGAAGCCTAGAAACGTTCAATCAATTCAGTTACTCTGGTACTATGAACATACTTGCTAAACTCAACACAATCACGCTCAGAAATCGTTCCATCATCAACCAATTCTAAAGGTTCAGGAAACTCTTCTTCTTCCGGTGGAGGAGGTTTATTCTGTTTGTTGGCATTTGCTTGAGCCTTTTTCTCACCCTTCTTCTTGTGGTTCGACATGAATACTTTACCCAAGGTACTAAAAAAAGAAAAATAATAGTTATACATTGAATAATCAATCATATATAAAGAAATTGTTGAGAAGAATGCAAAAGACATTGTTTTAAATAAGCGTTTGCGCGTCAAAAGAAATACAACATTACACACTGCACCATTTGCGTATATATGATGACCGTTGGATTAATGTCCATGATAAGCGTTCATTTCAAAACATGGATAATTTAATGATTTGTATTGCTGATAAGATGAATCAATAATCAGTAATTGAACAAATCATTGTAAGAAAATCCTTAAGAACATTAATATTCAATGAATCAATCATTTTCAATTTGCATTGAATGTGTTAACGGAGAGAAGAGATAGAGAGAGGTTGAAGACAAATAATTGAATGTAAAAACATAATGAATCGTTGAATTATTTAAATGAAATCAATGTTAATTTAAATAATTTCAGCTTCAAATATGATAAATCTGATTGACGTCATGATCACTGCTCAATGCTCTGAATGATCTATGGGAAGGCAATGGTTATACAAGAAGAATGAAAATGGTTTATCTTCTTGTTCTTATTCATTTTTTTTTGTTCGAATAGAAAATAATGAATACATTGTGGTAATCTCATTAGAATGTATATGGAGAATGAAATAAGAAAATGAAAAGTCAGTCGGATGGCTTTGAAATAATTGAAAGTAATCAATTAGATGAATACGTAATGAATTATCGTCATTGTTGGGTTCTTAGATGAACTAGTTAAAGCTCATGTCCTTTTCAAGTAATCTACTTCTCTAGAAAATATTAAAATTGATCATAAATAAGATAGTTTTATAGTTTATAATAATATATTTATCATCTTATTATATGTAAATGACGTTTGTAACTTATAATAATTTGATCATTTATATGTTTCATCTATATATTTTCTATCAATTTTCATTATAGTTATATGTATTTGAAATAAATTTTAATTTTATTTCTTTATGATCAAACTGCTTGTGATGTGAATAGTTAACTCTCTCTCTCTCTCTTTCTCTCTTTTGTCATCTATGACTTAGTCAGATGATATGCATTTGTGACGGAAGGTTGCAGGATGTATGAATGACAATGATTAACTGATATACTTCCTGCTTATTATTTTTTGAATGTTTCATAAGCAGTATATGATATTCCATTATAATTCAGGAAATGTCTGTTAGCACAATCACAATGTCTATCAACTCTCTTCATCTACATCATTCATACATCATACTTCTTGCTCTGTTCTTGTTTTCTTATCACCTTTCATAGATTTATATATATATATATAAATTATTTAATATAAATATATATGTTTTAGGAGTTCAGTGAAGTCATTAGCATTCAGCATATCAGCCACAATCATATATCCTGTTGGCAGCTGATATCACCATAAGCTATATTTCAACCTTTTTTTTCATTTTATCTAAAAACTCATGATTGTCATTTGCGGCTTTTCCATGATTTTCGAAATTCAACTTGAAATACTCATATCTGATTACTTTTGCTCTCAAATTTTAATTTTTATAGAAGTGGGAGTTCGCATAGGATTTCAAGTTGATCGCGTTAGCTTATCAATGTACCAGCTGACTGCATCATATCTCTAATTAGTACCAACAGATATGCAGTTCCGTTCGTGAGTCGGAAATTGAACTTGAAATAGTTATCTTATTTCTCTTTCTTTTTCCCCTTCTCTTTCTCTTTTTCTCTCTTAATCTACCTCCCCCGTCCTTCGTTACCTCTTCTTCCTATCTACAAGTCCATGCTTTGTCATCCAAAAATTTATTTTATTCAGACGAATTGGCTAACCAGTTTAAGTTTCTTTGTTCTCTATTACCTATGAATATAGATGCATTAAGGTTTCTGAACATGACTTCATTCTTTTATTTTCTTTTTATTGCAATTTCTATGTAACGTCGCGTGTTCTCATGCCTGTGTGGTTTAAGAACAGCATTTTCAGTTAAGTCTGGCTCACTGCATCATATATTGTAGATATTTTTGAGCATTTTTAGTCATACAACATTAGAGATTCAGAGATTTAGACTATGCGAACAAGGTAAGAGATGCAGAAAATTATGCACCTGCCTAAATCGCACTTCAATGACTTTTTAGATTCTTGGGGCTCAGTTCGCCTCTCCCAGAATAAAAAAAATACGAAAATTATTCTTTTTTTTTTCTTTTCTTACTCACTCTCACTCTGTCTCTATCTGTGTAACTCAAAAATATCGTTTGCCGTTCATCTATCTCTCTCTCTACCTCTCATTTCACACATCACACACACACCCTACTTGCTTTCCTTCTATCAGCTTTTTTGCTCTAATCCCTGCAATTTATTTTCATTTTTCACGCTTAGACAAATATAGGCATCATGTTGTCATCCTATACGGAAACGTTTTGCCATCTTAGAAACAAATAATTATTCTGCAGACGATGAAGTTTGATATTTCCTCAAGAATACACTTCATATTGTTTTACAATTAATTTAATTTTCGCGTTTGAATGGCTTCGAGATGATGAAAAATGAATTTTCACCACTTTGCTCATATGATCTTATGACGTTTGACTGTTCTCAGAACTTCATCATTACTTCTCTGATTTCATACATACAAAATCTTTTTCTCATTTTTAACTCTAATTGTTCAATGTTATCATATTTGCCACTGTTCTCATATTTGGGCAAGGCAGCAGTCTGACTTTTGGCTTCTACGTCTCTATCCTCGCCTCTGATTTCTACCGTGTTTGTGCTTATGTTTTGTGGTCTCTATCTATTTCTCTGTGTCTGCATTCGGTTCAATAACTCGGATTTTTTGTTAAAAGATATAATAGCTACATTGATTATAACTTCATATTGATAGTTACATCTCTACTTCCGGACTTCAAAGACAACAAAGATGGCTGAAAAAGCTGATCCAAAAGAAGAGCCGAACGATATGGATGGCAGAAACAAGCCGAGTAGCAATGATGAAGCTGACGAAGAGTTTATCAAGTGAGTTTTCAAATGTTCTTTCCTGAAAGTTGAAAGAAAAAATTACAGCTGCGTTAACTCCATCTTTGATGATATCACTTTAAGATTGAATGAATATCAAGATGAATTGACTCGTAAGAGAAAAGCTGAATTAGAGTCGGATGAAGCTAAAAAAACAAAAGCTGAAGGGTTAGATGAATAATAGACCTAATACCATAAATAAATCTCTGCAGAGAAACTGTTTCCGAGTTACAAAAAAAGTTTGAAGAGTTTGTTAATGGAGGCGATGAGCCGGTTAACTACAGCGCTGTTCAGAGAGAAGTATGCGTTTCCGAGATACTAACATAATGGAACTCATAAAATGTTTTAAGAAAAAAGCCGCCAACCATCTTTCGCCCGTACAGCCTGCAATTCTACCCGTCAAACGTTCTCATGGCAATCACAAAAGTAAAATCATCAACTTGCTAAACAAACAAATATTTTATTCACTCTCTTGCAGAACGTTCAAACGGCCATTCAAAGGCGTTTGCAAGAGCTCACGTAGATTATCGATATCCATTGGGACCTGCCTTTGCTAGTTTTGGTAGAATGTTTCCTAGTATCAATGGAACAGTTCCTGCTCGCTATGTTGGACCGATACCAAACATTGAGATCACCGTAGATCCATCTCCGCCACCAGCATGCAGCTACAACAACCATAGTACTTGCACCTGCGTCACACCAGACTGCTTTGGTGGTGTTCCTCGTGGCAATGCTGTAAATCGCAGCCTTCTTCCACCACATCAGCTTTTTGCGCCTCTAATGATTGACATTCCAAACGGAAATGATGCTCAAGAGGATCCTTCAGCTAAAAGATAAGCAACAAACATCTGTAATCATCTGCTTCGCTACTGCATCATCAACTAATTAATCAATTACATAGAACAACGCTATATAACAATTCTATTCTCTATTCCAAGAACACATGTCATTTCGCACATCACAAACGTTTTTCAATAGTATCCTATTTTGCCAATTTCGTTATTATACTTTATGCGACGCTATATAATTTAATTGTAGAAAACTATATGTTGAATCGTTAACTATTAGATCTCAAATTAATATGCACTTCTTCTGTTAATAAAACATTTTCCGCTTCTTCTCCTTTTTTTTTTCAGAATAATGACAGATGTTAGATGAATATAGAGAGAGAGACAATGAAGATATAATAAGACATAGTTCATTGCATTCACATAGATACTAAGACTAACGCATACTTAACTACTCATATATAATATTATAGATATAACATTATTGAAAAGAATAGAAAATGTAAGTAAATAAAGATTTTCATTACATATTGTAATATAGTTAGAAGGGAATAGCATAGGAAGTATCTGGCATGTATTCAAATTCAGAAAGTATAGTTAAGAAAGCTTTTGCTGAATGCTTATCTCTTATAAAAGCTATATTGCTTTTCAATGTCTGATTTTGTAAAATTGGAATTTGATTTCTTCAACAAGTTCATAATAACAGTTAGTTGTTTGTTGATGGTTTCTTCCTCTCTTTGTTGTTCTTGTACAGTCATTTGCATAAGTATATATTCCGTTTCAGCTTTGTAGCGAGCAATCTCTACCTTCTGTAGTAATTCATCTTGAGAATAGAGATCAAGAATGCTTTTAAGACAATAAGATACTGCATCATCATCATCATCATCAGTCTTATAGCTTTCTCTTGATTCACAACTCTTAAAAGAAACAAAAGATATTCAATACACATCATGAACACATGAATGAAGGAACTTACGTTGTTCTCCTCTGACTCATTATCCTCACTCATCTCATTTTTCATATCTTTTTCAGATGTCATCAATAGAAAAATACAATTATCTATAGCAGAACCATCTATTATAAATATAATATTAGCTATGAATTTGAAATGAAACACTTACTCTGATTATCCTCATGAAACTCATCTGATGAAATAATATGATTCTCACCAAGATTATAATGTGTTAGAGTATTGAATGTTTGTGATATTAACATCATCATAACGAACATAAGAATTAGAATCTTAAATGATTATATGGCTATTCTATTTGATTATTATAATCTTACAAAAGCTATACAGAAGCATCCAAACGATGTATTTGATATGATCATTCTGTCTATACTCCTACTTACATCAATCACATCACTCATCTTACCCTAAAACAAACGAACGACTTACAATCTATACAATAGAGGAAAATAAATTGGAAATATCAGAATATATTTTCTTCTCCTCTATCATTTTCACACTTTATCTTAAAGAGCTGTTGCGTTTTTGAAGAATGAAGGAGAGAGAGAGAGAGAGAGGAAGGGAATGGTTGGGTGAGGAAGAGAGAGAGAGAGAGAGAGATAACGAATGGTTATGGAAACTACCAAGGTAACCATCAATTGAAGAAATGAAAAATCAAAGAAAAAAAAATGTAATTTATAAAGATAAAAGCATTTGATGAACAATACAACACACAATGATTATTCATGCGGAGAAAATGGCATAGTTGATGATTAAAATGAATATGGAAAGCTATTCCTCATTATATTTAATATCTTAGTCGATTCATTTTGTTTTCTATCCAATTTATATATATAAATAATGAAAAATTGACAAATTGAACCGTCACATGATGACGTTGATGATATAAGATAAGGGATATTATAATATTAAATATGCTAATTATATTCATATAATTAACTATACTAAGATTAATATAAATATAAAATAAAGAAATATGAATGAATGACTGTCTGTATCCAAAGGAATCTTCTATATACTATATATATATATATATAGTTAGATAGATAGATATACTATATGATATATATAATATAGAATAAAGCAATCCATTAAGCTTTAAGAAGATTCATAGAGATATCGCTCTTGGTCAGATAATCTTTTTTCCTATCAAAAACAAAGTTCAAATGAAAGAGAAAACATCTTTAACATAACCCCCCTCACCCCCCTTTGATGTTATAATGTATAAGAATGAAAAAGGAAATAAGGAAAAGCAATGAATTACATCATTTCTCATATATGGTAGTGTTGGTGGTGGTGTTGGCATGTATCATAGATTGGAGATGTTCAATCAGTTAGTCAACTTGTATTTTCGTCATTTTTCATTTTCTTTCTAAAAATTGAAATATAATATGTATAAAGCTAATTAACTAATTATTAATTGTTATATAAACTATACTTATGAAGATGAAGAGATTCCAACAAATTTCTTGTTTCCATTGTCTTTACACCATTCATCTCACATATCCTATTTCGTTCATTTGATCATTTGTCTTTAAACAACTTCAATAACTTGTAATTTACTTTTTATAATTAGTTTAGTTCATATCATATTAAACTATTATATAAATATATATAACTATATGATATATAATCATATAATTAACTATCAATGATGATTTCTTGTATATCCTACTCAAACATCATCTTCAATATCATTTTCTTTTAAATAATTTTCCTTTTTTATTGTCTTCCTCTCATTATTGTCCTTTGTTCGTCTATCTACAAGAAAAATCAATATAGATTTTATAATTTGAACATCACACAACAATTTTGGCGCCAAAGGTCACCGTAATCCTCATTATAGTTACTCATTTCGTCCATCTGCTAGTCTCATTGAATGTCGTCAACGCTACCATACGCTTCTGTCTTTCTTGAATATTTATATATTTATATCATTTTTATATTTTTAATTATAAATTGAAAATTATCATTTTGCATTCATATCAGTCTTCTCATACACTTTGCCATACACCTTATGAAGAAACATATTAATTTCGTATATAATCAATACATTTGATAGTTTCATATAATTTGTTATTGAATATTATATATTATTATTTATATTATTCATATAGTATTTGTTTCTCTGATATTTCATAATTTCTTTTGCGAAATAGTTAGTCAGCCATGTTTATAGTATGATGTAAGCATCATATGATTGAAAAGTTTTATTTTCTATGCACTTGATCTTGTACTTTATAGTCTATTACAACGTATTATCAGTTGTGAATACTCTTTTCGTTCTTGAAAATCTCTCTGTTGTGTCAGAGTTTCTATTTTTTTTTGTTGAACTGCATAGCTTTCCCTTCTTCTCCGTCATCCCTCTCTTCCACATAACCTGCACCTATAACAACACAGCAGTCTCAAGATGTATCTCTCCTATCTTTTCTTTTTAATCCTTTTGTATTCCTGATTTCATAATTCACTGTTCTTATAATTTCGTGATGTGAAATTCCACCAATCAGGAAGCGAGCGCAGTCTCGTTTATTGATTGGGCATTGCATAGGCCGAGCCCTGCAAATTCGTAATACCATTCAAATTTTTTCATTCATTTTACATTTATATTAAATTAATTGATTATACAATATATATTATATGTTAATCATTATTCTTTTATCCTCTATATCATCTTGTTATAATGATTTATCAATCTTATGATTTGCATAATGTTTTGATCATCCTATTTCGATCGTAAATTGATTTTTGTGATTAACAGTCCATTCTCCATTAAAATATTAAACACACGTGTTATAAACATATTATATACAGTTTAATTCCTTCTATTTGACATATCATATGAATTATTCTCCATAAAGATAGCAAGAGAGCATATACTCTTGACTATCGTTGTAGTGAGCGTAACACTCCTCTGGCAGGTGCATCTTTCTCTGCGTCTCTGACTATTTCTCTTTCTCAGCACTACCCAGCGTCGTTCTCAATCAATCTGCATCATATCGATTTTAGGCCCCTTTTTCTCTTTTTTTTTTTTTTCGTCGAAGGCGCGAATGATTTATCAAACTCATACGTGTTTTGCGTCATTGAAATTCTTTTTTTTTTTCTCTCTTCAAATTCTTTTTTTATTGTAACATTATGATTAGTTTTGATTAAACAAAATAGAAAAAAGAATATTCTATATAGTATACAGCTATGATGATTATACTGTTACTGGAATGACTTCAACTTCAAATCATTATTCTGCTTTTCATTTATTCTATTTGAACAATCGAATTTCATTTTATTATATGTTGCTTATATCTTTTCTTTCTTTGTTATTATATATATATATATTTATAATAGTTATATTAACTTATTCTTTCTTTTGCAGACATATTCAAGAATGTGGTAATTCTTTAGAAAACTATACATATATATATATATATTATTATATTTTCTTATGCAAAGACCATAGAACAGATTTGCTTCATAGTTTCAGAGTATTTATGAACAGCAATGGAAGGGTTTGTTATAGTTAATTATATCATTTTTATTATATAAATTATATTTTAAGGTACGTTCCCTTGACAGCCCATCTCAATTTGTCAGGGCGTCCAAGAGGTCGACCGGGGCGGAAAAGGAAAGCAGATAACACAGCGGCTCAGACGAAGAAGCAGAAAGTAGCTAATGAGAAGTATGCTTAATGCTCTGAGCTTTTTGTTTAACTAATCTGTTTCAGAAAAACAGTTCAGCAGAAGAAGAGTCGATCGAGTGCCTCTGCAGCAGATGATATAACACACGAGGTGAGTTACAAGTTTACATGTTTATATTGTGTCGGCTATTAAAGGGGTCAAAACCATCGCATAAGGAAAGAAGCTTTAGTAATATTTCTTCGAAATCTACTTCTAAGCTTGTTCCTGGACCATCTTCATCTAAGCACGTTCCTGGACCATCTTCATCTAAGCATGTTCATGGGCCTGCTTCATCTAAGTTTGTTCCCGGTCCATTATCTTCGAAGCCTGGTCCATTATCTGCAAAGCTTGGTTTTAGTCCATTGTCTTCGAAGCTTGGTCCCGGTCCATTATCTTCGAAGCCTGGTCCATTATCTTCGAAGCTCGGTCTCGCTCCTTTATCTTCGAAGCCTGGTCCGTTGTCTTCGAAGCTTGGTCCAGGACCATTATCTTCGAAACTTGGTCCTGGTCCATTATCTTCAAAGCTTAGTTCTGGTCCATTATCTGCAAGGCATAGTTCTGGTCCATTATCTTCGAAGCTTAGTTCTGGTCCATTATCTTCCAAGTTTAGTTCTGGTCCATCTTCTTCCAAGTTTAGTTCTGGTCCATCTTCCTCTAAGCATAGTGCTGGTATATCTTCTAAGCTCATTACTGGTCCAGGTTCTTCTGATAAGTCCACACCTAGTAGAAGCTCGACTTACAAACGGCCATCACTCTCTGGATCATCCGCGGAACCTATCTATACAAACATATCAACTCCTAGGAGAAGTTCTACACATAGTTCCTCTAGAGAACCCGCATTTGTTCCGTCGTCGCTTCCTGGATTGAGCACTACTTATTCAATTCCTAAGAAAAGTTCATCCCAGGCTCCACCAGTTTCGCGAACTGTTACGGTTGAAAAGAGTACGGAGTTTAGATCCAATTTTACGATACCTAGGAGGAGTTCTGCCCACAGTTTGGGTGATGAACTGAGCAAGTTTTCTGAAGCAGTCTATAGATCAAAGTCAAGCGATGTTCCATATTCTGAGCGTAGCTCGACACATACAAGTGTAGAAAGAAAAACTTCTGTAGGTTTGAAGATTGGAGAAAATTTAACCGGTTTTTCAATACCGAAGAAAAGCTCGACTCATGGTTTGACTCCAGGACGTTCTCCTGCGTCAGAATCATTAGGAAAAGCAAGTTCACCTTTATTCTCAACTGCTAGATCTTCCACGCACGATGCAAGTCCTCTTGTTTCGCCCAGTTCCATTGCAGGCTCGACGACAAATGATCTTGACGTGCTTGAAGCATCTTTGCTCGGATCACATACGAAAAAATCTTCTGTCCCATTTGTATCTCCAGCACACTCGAAGACTTTTTCAACTCCAAAAACTGCAAAGTTTTCGTCAAAAAAAGGTGAGAAAGATGGATTAGAGCATAAAGACGTTTCTCAATCAGCCGGTGCCTCTTCAAGAGTTGATGTCGATACTGCTAGTAGTTCAAAAAGCCCAGCGTTTAGTTCTAGTGGTATTTACTCAACTCCGCCGAGTTATGCTGGAAGTTCTTTGATGAGAGAGTCTCCAATTGCTGAACCTATGTTCACTCCTTCGTCAAGCTTCTCGACTCCTAAGACATCTAAACATTTTTCATCTATTGGAAAGTCTGATCCTGCACAAGGTAGTGTAGTGAAGCAATCGGGCGTAAAGCAGTCTGTTGATGGTTTAATGCTTTCATCCGATGAAGTCCGTCAGTCTACTCCAAAGAGTTCGAAGCATGTATATCGAGGAGTAACATCTGAAGTAACTGTTGGGCCAGCTTCCCCATCCACTAGCTCGAAAGGATCAAAGTCTACATCCGACCATTCGGTTTATCGAACTCCAACACGATCTAACGATGGCGTTCATCTCACTACTCCATCTACTTCTGGTACTTCTTCAAGCCATAAAAGTGGGGACTCTCGGTCACCAACAGCGCGAATTGATGCTCTTGACCCGAAAAAGATTAAATCGTCGAGTTCTGAAGCCAATACAGGATTTGATGTTACTAGCTCTTCTAGTTCGACAAGTGAGTTTTACAGTTTATCATGTTTATTTTTTGTTTCTTTAGAGCGCAGTGCCAAAGAACCACATACAACTGGTTTGAACCCAAAATTAATCCCTAACGTAGGCTCATCTATATCACAAATTCCTCATCCTAGTACCCTCGCTCACACGATCTCTGCTCGCTCTTCTGACTCCGGACGAAGTTTGTTTTTGCCATATATACATATACATTTTTTTTTCAGGAGCTAGTACCGGAATGATACATACTATTGGTTCCGATTCTGGAACGATCTCAAATCCTAGTTCAAATGTTTCTCTTATTCACGATTCTTCAGCTACAGTTAAATCGATCTCCAAATCTTCTACCTTTCTTGGAAAACGTTAGTCAAATGGAATATCCAACATTATCAGCTTACCTTTTAGAATCAAGTTCGGGCTTGTTACGTAGTGATAAATTTAATTTTGAAATGATCTCAAGTGATAGCCCTAATGCTCGTCAATCATCAGAATCCAGGATAGCGCATGAAACGATCTCAAAAGACTCATCACATTCTAGACGTAAGCTTTGTTTTTTTTCCTTTTCACAAAATTACAAATTAAGAATCGACTGCCAGTTCGATAAACCCTCTGAATTCCAATACTGGAAAGATCTCATCTTATGATTCAACCCCTTTGAAGAAGCTAGATGTTTCTCCAATAGTTGAATCGATCTCGACAAGTTCTCCTATCTTGGGCCAAGGTATCTTCAAAACGTATTTTAAAAATAATATGCTTCATTTAGTAGCGAGTACTGCGCTGTCATTCCCCAGTTCGTACGATGCTGGGAAGATCTCAACTCATAGCCCAAGTTCTCGCGACTCTGCGTCCACAGGTAAAATGATTTCTGGCGGTACATCATCATTAGAAAGAAACATTACTTCCTTGGAAAGTAGAAGTGAGCTAACGCATCAAAATGTTGTAACTGCTGTTGCAACTACTGTTAGCGAGAAAACAGCTGATACAAGTTTGACATGGAGGCTTGATACTAATACGACAGTTGGACCAGGTTTTAAAGACCTCTCTTTTTCTCAGCCTCGAGAAGACCTTCACAATGAAGATTCTCAGGATAGAACCAAAGCCAAACCGTTTCCTGTTAAGTTTTCTGTTCCCGGAAAAGGTGCAGCGAAAATTCCTACCGTTCCTCGAATTTCCACAATCACTGCTAGTGCTGATAAGTTACCAGTGAAATTTTCGATTCCGGGAAAGAATCCTTTTTCTGTTGGTTCAACAATCACTCCTAAATCCAAAGCTGGAGATGGCTCAACAGATGTATCACTTCCTGGGAGTTCGAAAGCTCCACCGCCTGTTGCGAAACAGTATTCGGTGAAGTTTTCAGTTCCTGGTAAGACAACATCTGCTGGAAAAATCTCAACAATCCTTCCGACTACGAGCGCAGCTTCAGCTAGTACTTCTCGTTCAGTGGCCACACCATCTGTTTTGGCCTCTATTTCTTTGCCGTTATCATCCAAACGTCAAACTGTGATAGAGAAATCCGAAGCTTCTAAACTCGCCTCGAAAATGAAAGTCACCGGCGCTCGTTCATCTTCCAGATCTAGAACCATTGCTTTTGCTAATATTGTGAAAATCATTCCTGCCAGGAAACACACAAGAAAGTTATCACCGTTGGAAGGGTCCAAGATCTCTTTACTTTCGAAGCGTTACAGTATGAAACCGATCAAAGCATTCGGCTCAAAATCTCTTTTGTCGTCAGGATCAGGAGCTCCACCGAGCAGAAGTTCAAGTCTCTCAGTTAGAAAATCTATATTAAAAACATCAGCATCTAAGTTGCGTTCTCGCTCTTCCAGTTTACCGAAATCGACTTCGAACGTTTTTTCTGTTGGAAAAACTTTCAAACAATCGCAAATTTTTTCAAGTGGAACTGCATTTGGTTCTGAGAAATCTCGTCCGACTACCCTGGCATCATCGACACAAAAAGAAGAAGGATCTTCTTCAACAGTTCTGGGCTTTCTTAAAACTCCATTTGCACTACAAGATTCTTCGCAACCCGCTCGCATTTTCAAGGAAACTATTGCGTTTGGAACACTCGCTGGAGCGATATTACCATCGGTTGAATCGGGAAAGACCGGAACTCTTTCTTCTTCATCTGCTAGAAAACCTCAAACAACAACAACAACCTCTGCGAAGGCGATTCCGGCTAGTTTTTCAATACCAAGAACTTCTAGACAATCGTCTTTTGGGAAAAAATCTAAAACTTCACTTTCTATAGCGAGAAAAATGCTGAAGAAAGAGAAAAGTTCTTTGCGGTTAGCTTCTAAAAGAAAAAGAATCCCTCTTGTTCATCAATCAAGCTCTAGGAAAACTACAAAATTACTTCAAGGCCCATTTGCTAGAAAATCAATTCTCAGATCATCTGGACGGCCTGTTCTGCCTTCGCTAAGTCAAAAAATGTTGAAACAACATTGTTCCAGCGGAAAATTGGCCGATTTGAGAATGAAACTGAAATCATCAAGCAAACAGATCCAAGGACAAAACTCTAGCGGTAGACCACTTCCTGCTGCTCGAAAAGTGGGTACCCCTACTTTTGCCGGGTTTTCAGCAGAGAAAATGAGAAACGTTTTATCTAGTAGAAGGCTTGCAGCATCCAGTTTGAATAGACGTCTAGCTCCAACTACTTCTACTCAGTCAAGTCTGCAAACTATGGGAACACGTGCAAAGCCTATCCGAGTTGTTTCGAACTCTTCGAAGATTCGGAGGCCTTTCAAGCCTGAACTCAGTGCAAAGTCAGCTTCGCCATCTTTGAGAACTAATTTGCTTAGAAATCGTCAAGTCAACACAATTACTTCGAAAAGCTTAACGAAGGCAGCTTCGAAAATTAATGATAACCGATCAAGATCAGCTGGTGCCGCACTTCTCCAACCAGGCATTCGACCTTTCTTCACCAAACATCCTTTTCGAAGAAGTGTCAGCCGTATAGCTTTAGTTGGGAGCAACGAATCTTCACCTACTCGACTAAAAGCCGATCCTCGTACTCGTTTCAGACGAAAAATAATTACTGCTGGAACAACTGAGCAAAGAGAATCCATCTCCAGGTCAAGAAGTATTCAACGAGAAAAACGTTCAGTCTCTTTGGGACCCACCAAGAATCGCTCTGCAGCAAGAGCCCAAAATGAACTTAAGCGTAGAAGTTTTTCGGTTCCTAGGAAAAGTTTACGCCATCTCTCAACTCTCAGACCGTCACAAGGAAGGAGTTTAGATGTAGTTCGGAAGCCTGCCATAGATCGTAGCAGATCAGAAAGCAGACCAACTGCCTTGAGCACTAGTATTACTGCGTCATCCGATCCAAGAACTGCCAAGTTCATGATTGCTAGAAAAAAATCAAACAGCAAAAACGATAATATATATGGTGATGTATCAGGCGTGGGTTGGACTGTTATTGAAAGGTAAGCTGAAATATTTTATTAGATAAAAAATTCAAGTTCCAGAAAAACTGTTCGGCAATCCGTTAGTCAAGCATCTTCTTCTACCAAATCCAAAGCGCTTACTTCTAAAGTGATCAAGCAGAAGAGTGCAAGTTACGGTCCTGCAGTACGTCAGGCATACCTCAAAAAGCCTGGAACTGCCGCTAGCTCTAAAAAAATGTCCTCTGTCAGACGAAGTTTGAGCCATGGCTCAAGCGCTAGTACGACTCCATTGAATGCTAATCGTCGAGGCAGAAGCAGAACTCGCAGAGCTACAGTTGCAAAGAATTTCGGTTATAGAACTAGTGCTCAGTTGCAACCTACTACAGCTCTCAATAATACAAAATCTAATAGGCCGCATCCGAAAATTGTTCAAAGTGTTGTGCCCTTGAAAAAAAGTGCTTCACCTCTAGTGAACACCTCTGGTCGATCTACAGAGGCCTCCAAATCACGCATGAAGCTTTCCGATTCTGGTAAAGCTGTAAGACCAGACGTTCAAAAGAAGTTTATGCACATTTCTACGTCTAAACCTAGTTTCAAAAAAGTTCCATTTCTTGTATCATCCTCTTCTTCTCCTAAAAGGAAAATAGTGCCTGAACGTTTCGTTGCGCGCTCTTCGACGATGCCAAGAAGAACAACTTCAATTCTTAAAAAGAATGTTTCTGACATTTCTTTTGGCAAACCTGGTATCAAATCTGATGGTAGGAGCGCTGCAGCATCAAAGCACAGGGTCAGTTCTTGAAAAAAACTGTTATAAAGATAATAATTTTCCAGGTCCGCCCTACGTCTAAAGATGCAGTAGAAGTTGATTCCGCTTTTGTTAATCATGGATCTCGTTTTGACTACACAGTACACGATGCTAGGAAAAACAAATCCAAGGTAAAACAGAAACGAGTGTTAATTGATAGTTTCAAATATTTTTAGCCCTATCGAAACAGCTCAGATTACTCAAGACGTATTCCATTCGACAAAACATCTGAGTCTTCAGTGGAGGTAGTTCATGTTGAAGATTATTTTGTCATACTTGCAATTTAGAAGGGAGACATTGAGAAGAAGTTGATGCAACGCAAAGAACTCATGAAGAAAGTTGAGAGAAAAATGCACGATGAAGAACGTAGAAAGAATGAATCTCAAAAGAAAATTAAGGTATCAACTGCTTCTTTGAATCTTGAGTGAATCCTTTTCTTCAGAACCCAAATGACAAAACAGGATTGGATAGTAAAACAGCGCTTGCGTCAGAAGGAAAACTAGTGACCTCTGCGGATGAGTTCAGGTGTTCTACTCCTGTTAGTATTATTTTTTTTTCTTTGATAAACTTTTCACTTTATAGTTCGGAAAACCTTCTGAAAATCGTACTTCAATGAAAAAAGAAGAAGCGAAGAAACCGTTCCAAAAGCCTGGTCTTTCCATCATCAGTTCCAAGGATGAAAGCAGCCTCAAAGTATCGAGATCGTTAGCTCATCCAGGTGACATAATTTTGAAAGACAAGCAAATGGTTAAAAACATCAAAACTAATATGAGAAAATTATCGTCATCTGAACGCTTAGCGAGTAAATTCCATGAGCCTGCTGATAGATTAGATAAATCTCAGAAAAAGCAAACGCAAGATGGAGTTTCGAAACCTATCACAATGAGAAAGACTCCCAAAGAGTTTGTTGTAATTCCGCAATCGCGCAAAGAAGACGATTTATTTCGTGCTCCAGTTGGTCGACCACCAGGTAGAGTTGCTCCGACTAGTTCATCAGCACCAGTTGGTCCACGAAGATTTATTGGTTCTTCAACTGCAAAACTTAGTAAAGATCTGTCGAAACGCTCCTCATCCCAACCTATTAAGTCGTCTTCAAAACTGTTCAGACATCACTCAGGAGCTCTCATACTAGATAATAGGAAAATGCGTCTTCAACATCAAGGAAAAGCTATTCCTAAATCTCACATTGAGAGCTCCCGTCTGAAAGCACAACTTTTGCAATCTAGGAAAGGAAAGCTCTCTACTCAATCGCCGACGTTGTCGCGACTACCAGCATCATCACGCAGCTTAGCTGCTAAACCTGTACGACGAACTCCAAGAGATACTCAGAAAAAAGTGTTTAGTATGGAATTCAAATTATCACAACTCAACAAGCGTAGCCGACACCGCACTAAAACGTGGTTCACTCCTCGAACGATGGCACCACCTTCATTTGGGGTTATGAAGCGGTTGACTCCAATAAAGAAAATCTTTCCTCTTAGTAAAAGGAAATTCTTACGGTCTCGAGCATCCGGTAAGCGTTCATTCCGAAAGTTGAGCTCTCCAAAGGCAACATCGATTCGTACATGCAGCAACTTGCGCTCTGATTTAGCGACTGTTCATCACAAAAGAAAAGTGTTTCCAGTCAGATCAAGACGCTTGCTCAATCGCAAAGAAAGTCTGCTTTCGAAGTTCTCAAGAGGTGCATTCCGTTGTAGAGAGAAGAGATCAACCTCCAAAGCGTCTGTCAAATCCTTGCCGGCAGATTTCGGTTCCTCGATCAGTCAATTGAGATTGCTTCACAGGCGGAAACAGCGTTCGTTATCGCGAACAAGAGAGAGAGGGTATTCACGAAGTAAGCTGTCCACCACACGAGTATCAAGATCTGTTATCAAAACTAGCAGAGACTTTTCTCTATCTCGCTCTGCTGTTTTACGCTCGCTTAAACTTCCTGGGAAGATCCTCAGAAGCGTTCTTAATGTTACCCGGAAATTGACCTCATCGAGAAGTCATAAGAAAATATCGCCTGTTCCCACAAAGTCAGCCTCATCGACTAAACCGCTTCGTCATGTCAGAGAAAAACCAATTTTCCTAGATACAATGAAAAGGTCACTTAGCCAAAAGAAAACATCCTTCATACCAAATGCTCCGTCCACTTCAAAACAACCAAGTTCGACAAAGGAATCCACGCAGTTGGAGAGAAACATTGCCTTGTTCAAGGAATTATCTTCTCGGCTACAGAAAGAGTCTACACGTTATTGTGCCCAAAACTTCTTCAATTGGAAAGCTGTTGCATCGCAATCAAATAAAAAAGCAGATTCTTCACAAGGTGTATGTAAGAAACTCTATCCTGATAAGTCGAAGTTTGCTGCTCCACGTAATCTAAGAGACCACTCGAAGCATACATTAACACGATCTCTATCAAGACGACCTATAGCAACCTCTCATCTTTCAAGCCACGGAGTTCAATCTTCATTACGGAAAGAATCAGTTACAAACCGAACAAGATCATTAAGTTCGAATGCCATGCGAGTTTCCCAGAAGAGCCCGGTTCGCAAACGTGTACCACCGAAATCTAAACAATCGACAGGTTCTATGATATGCCCTCATAAAAAACGTTTGCTGGCTTTGTCTCGGTCTTCGAAAAAAGAGTGCACAACGAAGAAACCAAGTCTTGCTCCTACCCTCAAAAGCTCACGTTCACGCACTTCTTCTCGTGACTCTCTACCAGGACATACTGAACCAAAAACAACAAAAGTTGTGAAAATATCAAATCCAAATGCGAAACGTAAGGCAGCAAAGAGAGTGATAGTTCCTAAGTTTGCATTAGCAAGTACGACATCATCTCTACGATCAGATGCATTGCTATGGGCGAAAGAGTTGTCGTTGGCTTCTTTGAAAGAAGCTAATATGAAAGCTTCAACCAAATTGGTTGTACCCAAGCCTAAAGCAATCCTCACAACTAAAGCCAGTATAATTCCTTCACCACTTCCTTCCCCTCAACCGGAGCTAGTGAGAACCCAACCAGAAGTCATTGATTTAACTGAAGAAGCTGTGTCTAGTAATAACACGGAAGAGGTGATTGAAGTTACGTCTAGTGCATTGCAGACAGCGATCATGAATGATATCATCGCTATGCGTGAAAACGATCGCTCTAAATCGACTGATAAAGAGCGTCTTGTACCAAGTAGTTATGAAATACTTTGCATGATGACAGCAGGCCTTCTAGAGCCGGGATCAGTAGATTATTCAGCGCTTCAAAAACAGGGTCGAGTTGGTCATATCGCGTTGAAAGAGTTTCGTTTGAGAGATTTTGACATTCCATTCACTAAAGAATATCTTGAACGCTTAGCGCGCGAAGGCAAAAAGCCACCAGGTACTGAACCTGAAGATCCTGATGAAGTTATGTTCACTCACCCTGATATTCCGGACGAATTTGACGGGACTAACCCAATTCCTGAAAGCCCGCCTGAACAAGAAATAATCATTACACCAGTTGTCAGAATACCAACTCCAGAACCACCTCCACCTCCTATGCCTGAACCTTCGTTACCTGCACGAAGGGGTAGAGGTTCGAGAGGAGGACGTCCATCCAGAGGGCAAGGTCGAAAACGAGGTGGACAACAGGTGAAGCCCGTTATTGTACCTTTGCCTCCATTGATACCTCCACGGAAGAAAAGTGTCTCTCCCTCTGCTATCACTGCTGAGCGACTAAAACATATGACAAAGTTAGATGTGAAAACTGCTATTTTCGATCTTGATCGGTGTGAAATAACTGCTCCCCCTCGTCCCAAGCCTATTCCAGAGCCAGCTAAAGATGCCAGTAAATCAGGAAAGAAGGGCCGAGGTAATGGTAGAACCCAGCCAGTTACAAGAGGAGGAGGTAGAGGTAGAGGAGGCAGATTCTCAAAACCAGTTGAACCAGTCGCGCCTGTTGAGCCTGTGGAGCCTGAGAAGCCGATTCGATCGTCTCGTGGTCGGCCTCGCACAAGAGCTGAACCACCAGTATCTACAAGACGAGCAACTCGTTCTCAGGTAGCTGCTGAGAAGATGATGCCACGCTACTTCACTCCACGGGTTCCTTTCTATAATAAGTTCTTAGAAAGCCTCTCTCGAAAGCGTGTGTTTAATAAGATAAAGTTAGCTGTACGTTTTCCTCCAGCAGTTAGAAAGCGATTCTTTGCAACACTTCCCGAAAAGCTGAGAAGGCTGATCATTCTTAGAAGTAGAGCTAGAACCGTCATCCATCCACGACTGAACAAGAAAGTGAAGATAATTGTTCGCATACCTCCCCCCCAGAATGAAAAAGTTGAAAAGGATAAGCAAAAAGATAAGAAAACAGACATTGCGGATGACAAGACTACGGATAAGACGACGGAAAAGATTATGGAAAAGTCGACGGAAAAGACGAATGACAAGGCTATGGATAAGACAACGGAAAAAACTATTGAGAAATCGACGGAAAAAACGAAAGACAAAACGAAGGACATGTCAAAGGAGGAGACGAAGGAAACGACTTTGGATAAGACAATGGAGAAGACTATTGATAAGACGACGACAAAAGCAAAGGATATGACGAAGGAGAAGAAGAAGAAAACGAAGAAGGAAAAGAAGACTGAAAAGGAAAGGAAGACGGAGAAGAAGACGAAAAAGAAGAAAAAGACGAAGGAGAAAACTATGGATGAGACAAAGGAGAACACTCTGGATGAGACGAAGGAAAAGACTATAGTTGAGACAAAGGAGAACGCTATGGATGAGACGAAGGAAAATACTTTGGATAAGACGATGGATAAGAAGAAGAAAAAGAAGAAGGATAAGAAGAAGGATAAGAAAAAGGATAAGAAGAAGAATAAGAAGAAGGATAGAACAAGGAAAGAAAAGAAGGATGACAAGGAGGATAAAAAAGAGGATAAGGAGATGGAGACAGATAAGGAGACTGATAAAGAAAAAGAGAAAGACAAGGAGAAGCAGAAGAAGGTTACGATTATGCCTACGGAGATGGTTAAGAAAAAGGATAAAAAGAAGATCAAAAAGGACACTAAGGCTAAAGAAAAGAAGGAGGATGTCATCAAGGATAGCAAGAAGGATACCAAGAAGAATGACAAGAAAGATAAGAAAAAGAAAAAGGATAAGAAGAAGAAATCCTCAAAATTAGCTAAGACTTCGATCAGAGGCTCTAAAATATCTAAGAAGAAAGCGGTAAGTTAAATTTAAAATCTTTCAAATAAATGTGTTTTACAGAAGAAGCTGAAAAAACTTGCATCTAGATCTTCTAAGAAATCAAAAAAGCAGATTGTGAAGGGAGAAAGCTTGAATTATAGGAAGAAGCTGTTATTGGTATTTGTAAAACTTGTCTCCAATCTTATTATATTCTACAGGATCCGAGTTTCAAAGATAGTATTGCCCGAAAGTTATACTTGAAGGGAGTGAAAGATGAAACTATTGACGTTTTGACTGGAACACCTGAAAAAGCAGATGACACAGTAAGATAATCATTTATTGTTATTGAAATGGTTATTTTTCAGAAACCAAAGCATTCTTCTTATTATTATCTGAGATTCGGAAAAGATAGACATGCGGTGCGCCAAGCATTAGAAGAAGTTGCTGAAGAAAAAGAAGTATATCAAATTCTATGATATTATGCTAACTCATTATAATTCAGAAAGCTGCTAAAGAGCAAGCGGAAAAAGAGAAGCAAGAGGAATTGGAGAAACAGATTACTAAAGCTGTTAAAGAATGTGCAAAGTGCCAATTGCGACGACACATGAGATCTTGCCGAGTTTGCCTGATGAAACAACATGCGAGGACATGCAAAAAATGTCAGATGAAAAGGTGCGCGAAAACTAGTATAGCCAAGAGAACTCACAGGTCTCAACAACAAGTTGAACGTGTTCACAAAATTGTTAGAAAGCCTGTTATGCCCATTCGACGCAAGCTATTCATTAGAGAGAACGCTCAACCGAGGGTTTTGAAGAAGACAAGAGAAAGAAACGCCCTTCACAAGTCCGCAGTGGCTTTAAGTCAGAAAGTTTTCAACAAGAAGGAGAAGGAGAAGCTCTGGAAAGAGCTTGCAATGTTCGAAAACTGGAAAGACGATGTGAAAAGATACAATTCCTATTCACGTGTTCCCTTAACTGAAAGTGATGTGGTCATGCTCAGGAAAGGAGAAGCCATCAATACGGCTAGACGTCAAATTTTCCTGGAAAGCAATTCTTTAACACGTGCAGAAATATCTACAGTGAGGAAAGCAAAGGCTATGCTTTTTAAGTTGAAAGCTTCTCTCACAAGCCACAAAACCATTTCATCAGGAGAAAAACTGATGATTAGGAAGTTACAGCGTATAAAGTCGAGAATTTCTGCAGGCTTTGCCTGCGCAGAAACCTTGTCTGAACATGATACTTACATCATAACAAAAGCTAAGGCTGTTTTCAAGAAGATGACAACATTATTCGATTCTGTTCTACAGGAAAAAAGCCTTCTGAGACAAGCAGTCAGAGCAGCTCCAACTCTTTCAGTCACAGAGAAATTGGTTGCTCCTACATTAGTTGCTTCATCGATTGGAAAGGTTACTGAAGATTCCACATTGAAAGCAATTAAATATATTTCGAAAGACACCAAGAGAGCAAAAGCAATTTTGAGACTTCTGAGTAATGAAGACAGAGTGATCGTTGTACAGACTCATAAATTCATGAAGCTGGAATGGATTGGATCTCAACCACTTCAAGACGTGATCAGAAAAGGCCAAGCAATAGTTGCTAAAACCAAGTTCCAACTTCAGAGCCGAGAAGCGATCAAAATGAAGAAACGGATGAGAATCAAAGCTAAAGAAGATAACAGACGCAAGCTTCTGACGATACGTCTCAGCATTCTCAAAAAAGAAATCCCGAACTTGAAAAAAGGACATTTGCTCTCTAAAGAAGAGAAAAAGATTGTTTTCAAAGCAAATTCTATCCAAAGAAGGAGAAATCGTTCAAAAGTCAAATCATTGAAACCGGATGACGCAACACTCTTGAAGAAAGCTAGAAGCATTGTGAGAAGAGTCGACAGTATCTGGGAAGCATCGAGAAAGACTGAAGCACGATTTGCCCGAGAAGCTAGAGTGTATTCTGAAGCTAGAAAGATCATCGAGAGAATGAATATTCGTATCAAAGAATGCAAAATGTTAGCACCAGAAGAATATGAGATTCTTGAAAAGGAGAAGAAAATTAATAAAAGATCGCACACACTGACCGCAGAGCAGAAGTCGATTATACGACTTTCAGCTAGAATCAGGAGAGATGAAGAAGAACGAATTAGGAACGCGAAGGTTCTCTCCGTAGAAGAAGAAACTATCTTGAGCAAATCGCGAGCTATAATGAAAAAGAATGCTTCTTTGAAAAACGCATTGAAAAAATGTAATTTCGCAATGCCCGAACTCGAAAACATCGTTGGAAACAGAAAGCATTCTTCTTCGACAAAAGCTCAACAGAAAGCTGCGAAACACGTATCAGCTCGAAAGAGCGAAACTTCTTTCCACAAGAAATGTTTGAAGATAAGTTTCGATTCTGTTCTAAGCAGAGGACTCGAAAACGCAATCAATCCCTACAAGGCTGATATCGATAAGCTGAGTGCCACACATGTACCTTCTCCTAATATTGCAGACAAAGCACTTTCATTGTTTGATATTCCTTCTGCTCGTCAGCTTATCGAAGCAGGCACTGGTCCTGGCTTAAATGCTCATTTCGTATCTTTGCAAAATGCTCTTCATAAGTCTGTCAAAGACGTTATCGAAAAAGGTGAAGAAGTGAGAAAAGCTCAGCAAGTTCGCATTGAGAAAGAATCGGCTTTGAAGAAAGCTGCAGCAGAAGCAAAGAAAGAGAAGCAAACAATTGATCCACTGAAGGAACCTTACTGCAGTTTGATGCAAGAATGCTTGGACGCTGCAAAATGTGCATCGAACAAGGTAGATGAACTGAACCTAGCTCTAGCACATTCCAGTAAGTGCCGCGCAGCGCTGCAAAAAGCTTCTAAGGTTCTTTTCAAAAAACCATCAGAAAAATATGGAAAGGCCAAGAAAGCTGATACCTCAAAGAAAGTCATTCGAAAAGTTTCTCGAGGTCTTAGGACTGACTCGAAACTCAAGAATGTATCTGCTTCTTTTACATCTGCAAGACCTGCGAAGCGAAAAGCTGATTCACTATCGACCGAGGATCATAGTTCAAAGAGATTGAAGAAAAGCGATGGAAAGGAAACCACGAAAGGAATACCTGCATCTATCTCGAATATTTCCTCACAGAAGCTTAAACCAATTGTTGAAACTGTCAAAGAGAAGTCCACAACTGCGAGTGTGAAGACTGTGTCTTTGAAAACGAGGGAGGACTTAGCCCGTGGTGAACAGAAAATACATCTCAAACTCGATACCATCGTAAAAGATACGAAGAAGACAAAGCGTTCGAAAGAAGAAAAGCCGGCATTAGAGACTTCACATTCGAAAGAGAAGGCTCGTTCAAAGGAGAAGACGGATTCCAAGGCTAAGACTGAATCAAAAGAAAGGAAACATTCTAAGGAGAAAACGCATTCGAAGGAAAAGATGGATTTGAAGGTAAAGAAGGTATCAGAGGAGAGTAAGCATTCGAAGGAGAGGACGCATTCGAAAGACAGGACGCTTTTGAAAGACAGGACGCATTCGAAGGAGAAAACGCATTCGAAAGAGAGGACGCAACCGAAAGACAGGACGCATTCGAAAGACAGAACGCATTCAAAAGACAGGAAGCATTCAAAAGACAAGATGCATTCCAAGGAAAAGCTGGATTCAATGGAAAAGACGGGCTCTAAGAAAAAGAAGCATACCAGAGAAGAAAAACATTTGAAAAAAGAAAGACGTTCCCAGAAAGAGAAGCTTTTGAAAGAAGGGAAAAATTCCAAGAAAGAGAATCTTTCAAAGAGAGAGAAACAACCCAAGGAAGGTGATCAACTGTCAAGAGAAAAGCTTTCTAAGCAAGAGAAGCAACTGTCGAAAGAAAAGCATATACCGAAAGAAAAGTCCTCATCGAACCTCATTCCTGTAGTCAGTGAGCAGGATCTTACCAGGGCAGGAATAAAGAATATTCCTGTAAAAGAGTTTGTTCAGAAACCTACCGAGGAAAGTTCCAGTAAAAACCTCTTGGATAAATTCTCCCAGAAATCCTCTGACGATAAAAAGCAAAAACTTGCCCAACAGAAGCAGATCAGTAAAGCCAGTGAACAGATAACAACCGTTGGAGAGAAGCATCAGCTAGGATCGGAGAATGAGCATCATGGCAAGAAAACTGTTGTTGAGGACGAAGCTACCAAAACTTCAACACAAAAAGAAGTTTCTCTCACTACCATTAAAGAACATACTCAGAAGCAAGTTGAGCAAAGCACTATGAAAACATCAGCAAAAACAACGGTGCATGTCGATATCACTAGCACTACTTCGGGACATCGTCTACGAGATGTAAGTAGTACAGTCGATCAAACAACAACAACTGTGAATCTTGTACTACCAGTAGCTGCTGCATCCCTAGAAGAAAACGGAAGCAAAGTGATAACCGATACCAAGCGTCAGCATCATTCAAAAGACGAATCTTCTCTCAGAAATATTCATGATGCTTCAGCTAAACTCTTCGCTCGAGATGAACCGTCATCACACAGTGCAACTGTAACAGGTGTCGAGGAACAACTCAAAGAAGCTATGAGAAAAGAGAGTGCTAAACGAGCAGCTCAAGTAGATCCTAGACTTGATATTGCTCATAAAAAGTTCAAAGAGCATGCTGATAAAGAACTACTTAAAGCTGCTAAGCTAGCCGAGAAACAAGATACTGCTCTCATTAACGAAGAAATTGCTCAAAAGGCTGCAAAAGTGCTACTGAAGAGAAAGGCTGAATCTTTATCTAAAGAAGAAGAAGAGGCGTTGAAAACGGTGAAGGAGATATCAATGAAAGAATCTGCCTTAAGAGAAGCAGGCGCTCAAGCAAGAAGAGAAGAAGCAGCAATAAGGGAAGCAAAGGCGATTTCTCGGAAGAAATCCTCGATGAAAACTACTGATGTCTTGGGTCATGAAGACTCCTCCTCACTCAAATCATCAGCATTTTCGAAAGATAAGTTACTTTTGTCTGGTCTTGATGCGGTTTCCAGAAGAGAAAAAGCAGAATTGCTTGAAGCTATCGAGCTTTCTATGAAAGAAGCTGCTGCAAAAGAGAAGAAAACAACACCTGTTGACGAGCATATTTCTAAGAAAACTAAAGAAGTTCCCAAGGAAAAACCATTAGCGAAAGAACAAGAACCTGCTTTGGTGAAGCAACACGCTGAAATGAAGGAATCATCCGAAATATTGAAGAAAGACACTTCTGTGAAAAAGTCTGAGTTTTCTTCCAAGGACAGTAGAAGCCTAACGAAGAAATCTAAAACTCAAGAGATATTCACAAAAGAATTGGATTCTAGTTCGAGAAGAGAAAAAGCTGAACTGCGTGAAGCTATCGAACTCTCTAAGCGGGAAGTTGCTAAAGCTGAAATAGTCAAGAAAGAAGAGTCCGATTCTGACGAAGAGCTTATTGTGGTGAAAAAGAAATCCTCGAAGAAATCTTCTGTGTTGAGAGATATTGAGATCGTATCTCGAAGAGAACAAGCTGAACTCAGAGCAGCTATAGAGCTTTCAAAGAAGGAAGCTGCCATGAGAGAAGCAGAAGAGCTGGCCAAAAAGAGGGCTGCTAAGAAAGAAGCCGAAGAAATTTCAAAGAGGTCAAACGCCAAAAAAGATTCACCTCAAGAGAAGCATGCAAAGAAGTCGAAAGATCACCTGAAAGAAGACGCTGATTTGGATCATTCTGCAAGCAAAGAACAGAGTGAGCACAAAGAAGCTCGTAAAAAAGAATCTGAGGTCAAAGAATCCGAACTGCTTGCGAGAAGAGAGAAGCTAGAAGAGGAAGCTCGGATGGATGGTCAAACAATCTCTAAGCAAAAAGACGTTATCACGAATGCCAACAAGGAAATTGTGAGAAGAGCAGCTTCTTTGAGAGAAGCTGAAAGCAAATGCGAAAAGAAAGAGTCCGAGTTACAAGCTATGAAGGCTAATCAGAAGAGAGGACTTCATAGGAAAGACTCTGAATTCATGTCGAAGAAACTGGAAATCACCGTTGAAGCTGCCAAGGATGTCTCACGAAAAGCAGCTGCTCTCAGGGAAGCCAAAGCCACGCTATTGCGAGAGCAAGACAACCTGAAAGATATGAAGATGGCAATCAGGAAAAAATCAGTGAAACGCGAGGCAGCAATTGAAGCTATCAATAAAGAACTCAACAGAAAACGTTTGAAGGAAAGCATGAAGAGAGCGGCCACGTTTGAGAATGAGATTTCATTCAAACGAAAGGAACATGAGCAAACTGAAAAAGAAGCTAAAGATGTTCAAAAGCAAGAATCTAGCAAACACGTAAAGGCAGAAAACATACCCAAGAAACCTGTGCATGTTCCCCTAGAAATTGATGTTTTCAAGTTGACTGAAACAACTTCGAAAGAAGATCTGAGCTCTCAGAAAACTAGCAAAACTCTGAGCAAATCTGGATCTGATCAAGACTCAGATAAACACTCTTCTAAGAAGCTCAAAGACACATCAAAGAAAGATCGGCGCATGTCACTATCAGCCGATACAAGTCGCAGTAATGAAAGTGATAGTTTCAAAAGTATTTTCTCTCCTCAAATCTCACCGGTAAGTAATTTTTTACAATCCATAGCCTGATTATATTTTTCAGTGCCCGCAGCAAAAGGAGAAGAAGGGTTCCTCTGGTATTAAGGAGAAACGATCTCTCATTGACAGCGACTCTACAGATGACTCTGATAATCGCTTACAGGTTTTTTTCTCTCATGAAGTTAAAGTTGTATAATGAAAATTCAGAAGTCTCTCAAACTTGGAAAGAAACTGTTATGCGATATAAACGATTACACAGAAGATCATTCAAAATCGGATAAGAAACAAAAGAAAGATAAGAAAAGCCAAAAATCTCATTCGCCGCTGTCATCCCCTTCAAGCATGTTCTCTAAAGACTCACAGGTATTCGAAACATGACAAGCTCTTAACTTATTGATTCTCCTAGAAAATGAACATTGGAAAGCATGTCAGTCCTACAGAGAAAAAGGAAAACATCAAGAAGATTGAAAGTATACCAGAAAAGGCTGTGAAGCAGAAGAAGATCACAGAAGACAAAGATATCAAAGATAAAGAACGTAAGAGGAAACATATGAAATCAAAATCTTCGAAGGAGGATGCTAAATCTTCTACAGTACGTTGCACTTTCCAGTAGAAATCTAATTGGTTGGATCTTTTAGAGTTCAACAGTCAATAAACGACAAAGAGATGTTAGCGTTACTACAGATGAGTCTGATGAAAACTTGGAACCAACATATAGAATTTCGGAAGAGACTATGAAGAGTAAGCTGTATCAAGCCGTTAGCTCATGGGGAGAACGATGTGTCAAGGTAGCACTCAGAAACTGATCTCGTCATTCTGAATAAATTTTCAGGAAGTATTGTCTGTTTGGGAGAAAAACGATCCTGTAACTGCCGTTCAGCATATGAGCACACAGTTCGCTATTGAAGCCTACAAGGAAATGGAAGAAGAAAGACTTCGCCAGGTTACTAGCATAGCTCTATATATCTCAAGTATCTATTCAGGAAGCTGTTAAGAGAGGTGCTCAAGGTAATAGAAAGAGAGCCACCACACCAACTACTTGTCCTGTCGTCATAGAAATCACAGACTGCGAACCAATGGTTTGATATAACTCCTATCCAGAGATAATTAAGTTTGCATTTAAGGATCATGATGTGCAAATACTGACGCCATCAAGAAGTAGGTCACCACGAACTGTCAGTAGCAATACCACTCGTGAAAGAAGTGTTTTGGATTTGTACAATCCTTGGACTCGACCATCTATTGTAAGATTTTTTTTAAACTACAAAATTATATATTGACTTCAGTACATACCTGATAACTTCGGTACTCGCGATAAACAAGATGAAAAAGAAATAAAAGAGCAAACGGCCTTACCGTCACCTAAGCCATTCATCAGACCGATCATAAGGCAAAAACCATCAGTAAGTGTAGTTTTTGTTTCTCTTTTTAATATTGTTTGACAGGTTGATAACTTGAAGCTAGACTTGGACGCTGAAAAAGAGCAAACCATTCCAGTTGCTTCAGATACTACCCCTGAGCCAGTCAAGACTCCCTCTTTTAAGAAATCAACAAACGTTTGTTTTTCAGCTTTATCTGATTAATATCTTTTTCTTCAGAATCCACCGGAAGCGCCTAAAAAGTTGGAAGAACCGAAGATTGAGCAAAAGGCGAAGTCACCAGTTGATGTTGTCCCAGAATCTGATCATACTAGAAAAACTTCTGATAGCCAGCTACAACAGAAACGAAAAACACCTGTTTGTGAAGTAGTCAAACAACTCTTCAAGAACTCATTTTCAGATAAACTATCGTGACTATGCGAAGGTCACAAGAATTGCCAACTATGAGGAATTCAAAACAAACTTGAAGGAGATCAGCAGCGATAAAGTCAGAAGACACTCTGATGTTTATGATCAGTTGAGGCGTTCATCTTTGGTTAGCTGTTCGCCGTTTTTTAAGCCTAATTGTTATTTTTTCAGGGTGAAACCAATGATGTTCCTCATGAGAAGGTGAGTGAAGACAAGGCGAAAGCCTCGACGTCACAAATACCAAAGTGGAACGAGTATGAGAAGAAGAATGAAAATCCGTCAACAAACAATGGGAGTGGAAGGCGGGATTCTTGTGAGTATAATAAGCCTCACGATATAACCAAGGTTGAAAATTACTTTAAATATGACTGACTGTAGTCTTCTCAGGCTCCATCTAAGCCTGAAACGATCATGATCAAGAGATCTGAACAGCCACATGCAGTGATTAGTGATGCAGCTCAAACACCTAAAAGACATCCTATTGTTTCTGGATCTACTACGCATCATCCTCCTGCAGCGGTACAGTGCATATCATTTTTCCATAATATACCTTCACAGATACAACAACGTAAACCTGAACAGTTCCATGAGAAAGAGAGAAAAGGAAGACCGCAACAGGAGCCTGCAAAGGTTACAAATGAAATGGGAAAAAGACATTCTGAATCTCACGACGCTTACAAAGCTCAATCTTCTCAGGTTGGATGGTTATGAACAATTTTTTTAAATAAATTTCTTCTAAGGTTTATCCTGGGTACAAGATCGTCAAAGGAGATGAAAAGGAGAAGAAAGACCGTACTTCAACGGGACCGTCAAGAGCTTTACTCGATGTTGGCAAGAAATTCCACGACGATCGTAAATCCCCCAGAAGCCCACCTCCACCACCACCTGTATTGATTAATAGTAATATAACCATATGAAAATGTTTTTTTGCAGAAAGCGTCAAAAGCATTCGGAAAATCCGGGTCATCTTCTCATTCCTCCGAGAAAGATAGGAGCAGAAAATCATCAGAATCTTTGAGTAGGAAATCGTTCGATTCTTATGATCCTGCAAAGCTCACTGTTCCATCCATTGTAGGCTTGAACAGCATTCTTTTCAAAAAACTTTTTCTTCTAGCAATCCCATCGTGACTCAGAGAAACCCCATGGAAAAGAAAAGGAACGCATGAGCAAATCGCCAGTTTCTCCCTATCGTAAAGAACATGAAAAGAAAAAAGCTGATGATTATGATCCTTCAAAACTGCCCCCACCTCCACCGGTTTTCTATCAAAAAGAGTCTTCTAATTGTCCATTTTTTAAGATGCCCTCACTCACAGTTCCCGATACTTATTCGAAAAGACCAGGAAAATCAGGATCATCTTCTCATTCTTCCGATAAAGACAGGAGCAGAAAATCATCAGAATCTCATGGTTTCTCCAATCTTCTTCCACCTCAGGTACGGATTGAATAGTTTTCCTCGAAATTCGAACATTTCTACAGATGCCCAAATATGAAACGGAAGGAACAAAGCAGAGAGAAAGATCAAGGAAATCTTCACATTCGACAGAAAACGATCCACTTGATAGCAAGTTAACTGACTATGATCCATCAAAACTACCTCCTCCGCCACCGGTCTGTAGCTTTTATATAAGTTAGTTAAGACTGTTTATCTTTAGATGCCAACTGATGATAGCATGAGATCGCATGAAAAACAAAAAGAAAGAGCGCGAACTTCATCTCATTCCTCAGACAAGAGTTCAGGTCGAAAATCGTTCTCGTATGTAGAATCACACCAGGTTTCTTCATCGAAGGTAAAAATCAGATTCCGCTTCGCCTTCAGAAATTTGTTCAGATGCCAATTCGCGGAACAGAAAGAGTTGATGAGAAGAAGAAAGAAAAACATTCGGAGCCTCTTACATTATATGATGATAAGAAACGAAGGTCTTCTGAAAGTTATGATCCTTCAAATCTTCCTCCGTCCACTTTGGTTAGTCTCAGGGGAAGAGCAGAAAATATTGAGGTTCAGACGTCGCACTATGATAAGCAAAAGGATAGGCAAAAAGAAAAGTATAAATCGAATGTGTCATCACGCTCATCAGAGAGAGATTTCCCTAGAAGAGCTTCAGATGCTCATGATGACTACAAGCTTCCTCCACCCCCACCGGTACAATTTATTAGAATTTGTTCAAAATCCATATGTAATACAGATGCCGTCACAAGATCTGGGCATCATGCATCTCAGGGAAAAAGAAAAACCAGTGACTATCTCACGATCATCAGAAAAGGGCTCACAAAAGAAATCTTCAGACTCTCACGAAATGTATAAGCTTCCACCTCCACCTGCGGTATGTTTTGAAATGATACGAAAATAAAAAATTTCCTTCAGATGCCTCAACATGATCTCGGAACGATCCAACGCAGACAAAAAGAGAGACGAACTTCTTCTTCTCATTCATCAGAGAAAGATTTAAACAAAGAGATGTCAGAAATCCAGTCTCTTTCAAAACTTCCACCACCACCACCGGTACCACTGAACCTAAATTTTGGGAAACTTATGCGTTATTCAGATGCCTACTCATGATGTTAGCAAAACATACCAAAAAGAAAAGGAAAAGATATCCGCTCGTTCATCGGAGAAGGGAGAAAGCAAAAAGCTCAGTGATCAACAAGATTTTTACAAGCTTCCTCCACCACCGCCGGTATAGTATTAGGTTGATTCCACATAATTATTCCGCTTGCAGATGCCTCAAGAAAATTTGGGAGATCTACATCATAAAGAAAAGCAAAAATCATTGCCAATGTCTCGTCTAACTGAGAAAGAATCTAGTAGAAGATCTATTGATGCACGTGATATCCTTACTCATCCACCACCAACGGTATGATATCTTCATTCACAGTTCACAATGCTCGATTTAGATGCCTCATCATGATCAAAGCAGAAGTTATATTAAAGAGAGGGAAAAACCTATGGTCTCAGCTGTTACATCTGAAAAGGTTCATAGCAAGAAATATACTGATATTCATGACGTGTACAAACTACCTCCTCCACCACCTGTAATTTTTAAAACCAATATAGATCTTAAGTTATTGCTTCAGATGCCTTCTCATGACAGTGGTAAATCATTCATGAAAGAGAAAGAGAAATCGGTTTCTTCATCTCGTTCATCTGAAAAGGATTTCAGCAAGACTTATATTGATGTTCATGATGTTTACAAACTTCCGCCACCTCCACCGGTATAAAACTATAAGTGTTCGAATATATTTTTCTATTAGATGCCTTCACATGATTTGGGAAAACCTCAACAAAAAGAAAAAGAGAAATTACCAATGCCATCAGGAAAAGCTTCAAGCAAAAAGGCTTTCGATCTTCAGGATATCTACAAACTTCCTCCACCACCGCAGGTAGGATATATAAATGTTTGAAAGATAATATGAATCCTATTTAAGATGCCATCGCATGATTTGGGTAAGGGAGCCCAGAAAGTGAAAGAAAAATCATTCGAGAGCATTGGAAAAGATCAAACTAAGAAGAATGTTGATACTCAAGATCTTTCTAAGCTACCTCCTCCACCACCGGTATTTTCAAACATGTTTCTATTAAATAAAAAATCCATATTCAGATGCCTTTGTTCGATACTCTGGAAGATCAGGGAAAAGCGAAAATGAAACAACCTGTTTCCTCTATAGCCGGGAAAGAAGAACTTAAAAAATCGTCAGATGCTCATAGCGTTCATAAAGTAATTTGTATCCTCGAACGATATTACAGTATTTGTTCTAGAAGACATCTCAAGAATCATCTGACACTCATATCGGTGAAAAATGGAAAACAACTCATCATCGTGTAGAAAGAAGTGGAAAGCTTAGTCTCGATCTTTCCGAACGTACTAAGCTCGTAAACGAAGGTAATGACGGAAAAAAAGAACGTTGAATTTGAAATTAAATGTTATAGAAAAAGACCAAAGGAGAAAGTCTGTTGAAACTTTCGATCATTCCAAGCTTCCTCCACCACCACCAGTAAGAATTAAACAGAAAATGATTCATGATAATATTAATCAGATGCCGTCGCTTAATCCAAAAGAAAATCGCTCTTCGTCAACAGGAGAAAGCATGAAATGGAGAGAATCATATGATTCTTCAAAGTTGTCATCAGCTTCGGTAAGAGAGTTATTCTTGACTGCGAAAAATAGTTTGTCACAGACACAGCAACGAAAACCTGAACAGTTTCATGAGAAAGAGAGAAAAGGAAGACCGCAACAGGAGCCTGCAAAGGTCGCAAATGAAATGGGAAAAAGACATTCTGAATCTCACGACGCTTTCAAAGCTCAATCTTCTCAGGTTGGATCGTTATGAACAATTTTTTTAAATAAACTACTTCTAAGGTTTATCCTGGGTCCAAGATCGTCAAAGGAGATGAGAGGGAGAAGAAAGACCGTTCTTCTACAGGATCGTCAGGAGCTTTACTCGATGTTGGCAAGAAATTCCACGACGATCGTAAATCCCCCAGAAGCCCACCTCCACCACCACCGGTTTGTTTTTTCCTAGTTTTCTCATAAACGAATGGTATTCTTAGACTTATCCTCGACCGAGAAGTGAGAAGGCTTTCGAACCTATGAGAAAAGATTATAAGAGTCGTGAAGGAGAGCTAACAAATGCTCCTGTAAAACAACAACATACCACACACTCGGTAAGAATATACAGATGACAATGTTTTGAAAGATTAATATTTCAGGTAATGCCTGAGAAGATGGGCCAGAAGGAAAGAGGAATGGAAAAGAGTGAAAGCTACAAAATATCCTCAAAACATCCAGTTCGTTCAGCTTTTAATGAGGACAACAAGACCCCTGTAACATCTTCGGTATTAATGATGATTTGATGAGAAAATATTGTTTCATTAAAGATGTCTTCATATGACATGGAAGCTACTCGCCGAAAAGAGAAAGATAGAACAAAAACATTGGAGAAAGATGAAACCAGATCTATTGAGCAGTATGATCTTTCCAAACTTCCACCTCCACCACCGGTAAGTTAGCTGAACGTATACTGTATAAAAGCCCACCGCATAGATGCCATCATTTGACGCTAGGAAGTTCTCGACCAAAGAAAAAGCAAAATCATCTTCTTCGTCTCATTCATCTGAAAATATTCAAAGCAGGAGACAATCTCAATTGTTCGGTTCAACAAGCCGTTCACCACAACCAACTGTGAGAAGAAAACTCCGTTTTCATTAACTTTTTTTTAAAGATGCCACGATTTGATATTGTGCACGGTAGTACTGCGGAAAAAGAAAAATCATCTTCTTTATCACAATTTGGAAGCAGCGATCAATCAACGGATCATCCAGACTCTTATGATCCATCAAAACTACCACCACCGCCGCCGGTAAAATTTATCCAACTTTAAATTAATCAATTCTATCTACTAGATGCCTTCCTTGGATGCTGGAAAAGTTCATGAGAAGGAAAAAGAAAAATCCAGGAGGCCATCTGACATACCATCTGTAAAATCGGCTCATGAGAAGAAAGAAAATGATGACCAAAAGGCTCGGAGAGAAAGTTCAAGTAGCAGAAACGAATCGTTGACAAAGAGCAAACATGACGATGACACAAAGACTTCTGAGACATCAAAACAAGTTCATGAGTTCATAAAAATGCCAACATTTGTAAGAATTATTTTTCTTTTTCTCATCACTAATTATGACTTTTCAGGCTCGTGAACGAGTTCACGGAGAGAAGAGAGGTGAAAGTGAGAGAAAATCCAAGCCTTCAGATTATGATCACTCTTCTGATATGAGAAAGCATTTTGATTCAAAACGCGTGAGCACGGTAATCCGCAGCATCTTTTTTTTTTGAATACTTTTACTGAAATTTCAGGATTCTACAAGATCTCTTGGAAAGTATGACAAGTACTCTGAGAAAGAGAGGAAAGAGAAGCATCATCCTGACGCAATCGGAAGCTCTAGTGGAAGCAACTCAGCAGAAACCGGAAGAAAGCATTCAGATTACTCACACTCATCAAGACGTCCCGTAAGATACCATTCTTCCGTCTCTTTTCAAACAAGTGTTCAGGAGTATCATCGTGATTTCGCGAAATCGGAGAAACAACAAGAAAAAGAGAGAAGAGAAAAGGCACTCTCAGGAAAAAACATGAGTTTGAATGAACATATCAGAAGGTGTTCTGAAATATCCGATTCCACTAGGCGTCAAACAGCTGTATGTCAATTATCATGTGCCAATATGATTTTTCAAATTAAGGGATATCCCCGAGATCCAGATGCTAAAGAACACGTGAGTAGCTCTGAAAGAAGGGATGAATCTGATTCTGAAACAAAGTCATCCACGAGCAGTTCGAGCAAAAGATTTGAGGTGTTTTTGAATTTAAATACGTTTAAACATTTGTTATTTAAAGCATTATCACGAGAAGATTCGACATGATTCAAGTAGTTCAAGTGAGAAGAGTGGCAAACCATTCCAACACAAGTTCTCAACTCCACGTGATACTGGCAAGAAGCATGTTGTAAGTTTGAAATAGAAGATGATCAAATACTTATGAACACTTTTAGGATTCATCTCGATACGAAGATAAATCAGAGAAACATCGCAATATTGAATCAAGTCATTCATATGCACATGCAAAGAAACTTTATGAGGTTTCATCTTATAAATATACAACTAATGCAAATGTATTGTTGCAGGAAAGCTCAAAAAAGCGTAAACGAAGAGGATCCGGCAGTTCTGACGGAGAATCTGAGAAACCTCACAAATACCGGAAACGTTAAAACGGTGTATCATTGTTAATCGGTTTTTATGTTTTTTTTTCTTTTTTTCCAATATATATATATCATACTATTTATTTATTGTTGCCTGTAAGATGTTTCATTTCAAATAAACGAATCAATATACGTGTTTCTATATGATACTCGGCTTTCACTCACCCCTCTCTGGAACCTTCTGTTTATGCTATTGGGGGAAATAGTGTGAGACTGATTCATTTCAAGAAATGCTTGAAACAATAGAAGATTGAGTTTCTAGCTTTTGAGAAAAAAAGTGTTGACGATGATGATTGAATAAGAACTTTCACAGCTCTAGAAGTAAACAACATCTTTGGAATGAGAAGCTTTCTAATTGAGATTTCATATTACTTTTCCGCTCATTCTCTTAGATGACAGTTTTCAAAAATGAATTATTACTCAATTATATGATTTTTATACTCATATAATCATCTATATGATTATTCCATATACGATGTGAATATGATATGATTGTGAATTGTAATGAATCTCTTTCCATTTGAGTTATATATATATATATATAAAGCTATAAGAAGTTCTCATATCAACAACACAATCAATGTTTCCCATGTATCTCTTTTTCTCTCTCTCTCTCTCTCTCTCTCTCTTTCTTTTCCTCTCTCTCTCTCTCTCTCTCTTTTTCCCTCTCATACAAATACTATGAATGATAACGTTTTACACAAAGTTAAATCATGTATCAACGAATACTTGAAACATGTCGTCGTCATTTCAAGTTGATTCACTAGTTGTTTGTTTGTTTGTTTATTCTGTAGCCTAAGACTCATGACCGAGAAAATCCTTCAGATGTTACATAATGCACAAACATCTTTATGTGTTAGGTCACCCTAGGTCATATGGATGTGAGCGCGTCACTACTACTACAGATATTTGCTCCATTCTTACAATAATGTAAAGAAAGCAACAAAAAAAGAAAAAAAAAGATTTTGCGACGAGATTAAGAAAGAAAAAAAGTTTTTTTTTGTTTTATTTCATTATGTAAATATTGATTGAATTGCTAAAAAGAAATCTATTTCATTTGTATTAATTTGAATTGCTCGTCTTCCCTCTCTATCTCTCTCTCTCTCTCTCTCTCTCTCTCTCTCTCTCTCTCTTAGCCTCTTCACATATGTGTGTATGATTCAAATGACATCTGCATACAATATCATCCGCATTTAAAGAACATCAATCAATATGAACAGCGTCATTTAATAGAGAATGTTATTGTTGAACGTTTGTCTATATTTGTTTCAATCATCTTTTCTATGAATACCTTTAGCTATTATTGATTTATGACATACATTTTTACAATTCTGATGCATGTATACATTCATCTATCTCAGCTCCAACCTCCATCCTTACCAACTCACCCCCCCCCCCCCCTTCTCCTTGCCTTGCATTCTCCAGTTCTCCTCTCTCCTTACCACAACCACTACCCTTCCCTTCTCCTCTCACCCGCTCACACACACATATTATCCAATTGTGCAAAAACTCAATCTTATTTTCTCTAAGCATAATGTACTCTATGTTCCATGTACAAATAGAGATACCACGCCCATTTCTATCCATCAGTTCATTGAAGTGGCGTGTCGCTATTCAACCTTTTCCATCTTTACTTTTCTCTCTTTTTAACATTTTTTGTTCATTTCCTGCCTATCTTCTCTTCATTTATCATTCTCTCTCATCATAGTAGTTATGTAGTTCGCGCATTCCTGCCAATGAGACCATATGAATCGTAAACGCAGCGATGATCATAATTCATTCAATGAATCTATTGAAGAGTTACAAAATGAAATGATGTTCTACAAAAACACTTTATATAAACTCTATATCTATCTATCTATCTATCTATATATGTATAGATTAACACATCACATCTATAGATCGATATCTTTTCCTCAATCTCTTCCTCCTTTTCTTCTTCTTCTTCTTCTTCTCCTTTTTTTGTTGTCAAAAAATCGATGGTTAACACAGATTACCCTCTGCAACTCATTATTCTAACCCTCATTAAATCTTTTTCTAACTATCTTCAATACTCTCATTTTATTGATTTATTTTACTTTCTTTTTTCTGCATTAGTACTATCTCCATTTTCCCATGAACTCTTTTATGTCGGTCAAACCTAACCATCAATTGTTCTGTTCAATATTCCATCTCTCCATTATAGAACGGCTGTGCCATTCTTGAATACATATTGCAGATAGTTCATTAAATGTTCAATTGCTGAATATGAGCTATAATCATTTGTTCAAAGTAAGTTTTCATTTTAAAACATTTTTTTATCCTTCAAATCATATTTACTATCTATATATGCATTGCCATATATGAGCATATCATTTCCGTTACTATGCTTAACTCTCTTCATCTATGTGTTCAAATGGACGAAAAGGCAAATGACGTGTTCTCTCATTCATTCCATACTATTTCAATGAACTATTTGAGAAAAGAAACACACACATACACACACACAAAAGGGAAAAGTTAAAAAATAAAATGAATATGGTTGGCCACTTAATTCAGCATTGAAAAGCAATTACTTTTTTTCTTTTTTTTCTCCACAAACATTCTGCTACAGAACATGAAAACATCAAGGCCACGACGAAGTCGAAATTGTCGTTTTCTCGATACTCTCTCCTACATCTGACACACTCAACACATTAAAATCATACTTGAATAGAACATAATTGTGGGGCTTACGTCTTCGTTTAAAGAAAGAAAAAGAAATTATTTACAAGTGTTTTGAACGATGTCTATCGAGATTAAGTGAGAAAAGTGATTTTATCATCTAAGCTCTCTTCCTCTCTTTCTCTCTAGCATCTCTCTCTCTCTCTCTCTCTTATACTTGAAGAGTAAGAGCCAGAAGACTTTCATCTAGAAGCTATGCTATTACAAAAGCAAAAACATACATAACACATCTATTAGGAAATCTCTTTTACTTGTCTACTTTATGTATTGTAATTGAAGATTGTTGTTGTTGGTGATCACAACTGTGGAAAATCGTGCATTCTTCTTCGTTTCGCTGAAAATACGTTCCGGTGCAATCACATCAGCACTCTAGGTGTGGATTTTAAATTGAAAACAATCAAACTAGGGCGAGATAAGGTATACATTATTATAATATATAAAAAATATATAATTATATATATATATATTAGATTCGTTTGGAGTTATGGGATACAGCTGGTATGGAACGCTATAGAACGATATACAATTCATATTATCATTCGGCACATGGAGTTATGTGTGTATATGATATGACAAATGAGAAATCATTTGAAAATTTGGAAAATTATTGGTTAAAAGAGATACGTCAAAATGCTCCACCCAATGCTGTATTGATGATTGTGGGTAATAAAGCGGACATGGATGATGAGCGAAAGGTAATCAGATGAATCGTCATCATCAACATCTATCAATCAAATCTTAAGGTTGATTTTGATCGCGCTGAGAAATTGGCATCCAAACTTGGTGTCTCTCTCTATGAAGTTTCGGCCAAAACAGGTTTTTCCATTAAATTGTTTAATATAATATAATTTTTTGAATCAATACTTAGGTATCAATTGTGAAGAAGCTTTTCATACGTTAGCTTCAGCTATGCGGGATAGAGTAAGTGCTTCAAATCTGCATTCAGATGAGTCAGACGATCAACAGGTATGCACAGCATCATATTCGAATCAGATGAATCTATTTTCATTATTCAGGAATATTCATCAGCTTTTCATGTAGATGGAGTTATAATATCAAATAAGAAATCCTCATCACTATCCTCTTGCTGTTCTCAGGGTCAGGAAGCTCCAACGTTTGTTTGATATATATATTATGCCAAATTATCATACAAGAATGTATTTTTCATTGTCTTTTATGTCTCTGTGAGTGTGTGTGCGTGTGTGTGTATGTGTTCATCCTTCATCTAGATGGATATAGTAAGTCACAAATGGTATATTGAATCGTATTACGGCTTTAAAAATTGAATAGTTTGATGAATTACAAATCAGTTATGTATTGAATACATATGCTGGTATAAAGCTTTTCCTCCATGTAATGTTAATATTCTGTAATTGTCCCTGTATCTCTGTTTTGTGCTTTTCATTGATTTCTCTCCCCTCTCTCTCTCTTTCGTTTTTCTCTTTTTTTCCCTCTTTCAATATATATATATATATATAATAAAATATATTTTATATTTATTTCAATATAATTCTTTATTCTATTATACTGTGATTGCTGTTCCATATGCATTCACAAGGCTTATCGTATGAGTTCGTTTTTGCTATTTCAGTATTGGATCACAACGTTTTCTCTTTTCAATTTTTAAATGGAAAAACAGCCGATGTAGCGATTGTACAGAAGATTAGAAAACATTTTCTCATGATAGGCAAAGGAGAAAGGCAGCGGAACAAAAAAAGAACGGCTACATAGAATGAGAGAATGAGAGAAAGAGAGAAAGAGAGAGAGAGGGAGAGAGAGAGAGAGAGAGAGAGATAAGTAAACTTCTAAATATTCACACGAAGAGAAATGTTCTTAAAAAGCTTGTTTTACTGATTTAACTTGACGATAAGAGGAATCAGATTGTAAAGTGTTTGTTCTTAAGCTGTATATTTACATCAATCATAAGTAATCGCTTGCTAAATCGTTCATGCAAAAGGAGGAATGTAGAGAAGTTGCGTCTTTGGATTATGAAATGACGCTTATGAAATGATAAAAAGAACTGTCTTACTGACACCTATTTGTAAACTAGAAAGTATTTTCTCTGATCTATGCTATCAGGTTTCATCGAATCATTTTCATTTCAAGCAGTTTTGGTGAGCATTGAAAAACCCTCTTCATTCATATATCTATATATATATATATGGAGAGATGTATTCATCATCATCATCATATATATATATGTGTATGTATGTGTATGTGTATGATGCAGGATGGGGTAGAAAGGGGGGGTATGTGTGTGTGTGTTTTATCATTTGTCATTTTTCTTATTCTCCATCTTCATCTCTGTTCTTCTTCTTACGCAGGTTTTCATTCGCATGTATAGAATTCTATTGTACAGGAATTACGCTGCGCCTATATGTGTATGTGTGTATGCTATGTGGTATTTTGAAGGCGAAGGTGAGCGGGAGGTGTGGGAAGGGCAGACATGATGAGAGATACCGAATGCATAAGAGAAACAGAAAGAAAAAGAGAATAGAAAGATAGCAGCAAAACGATATGGGGAAGGAAATAGAAGAAAGAAGAATTGAAAGAGCGCGCACAAACCAGTCTTTCAAGTGGCTGTCCAATATGGGTACCTGTTGCTCCTGTTCTCGGAAAGCTCATCAGGTGATACATTTGTTCACAAAAATAAGCAAATCTTCAAAAAGTATCATTTACTTGTTGATATATAAGAGCGGTATGCTCATTTTGAATCATCGTTTGAATCATTTAGGTGTATGTCTGTCTGTCCTCTTGTTAACCTCCCCACCCCTCTCCCCTCCAGCAACACACACGCACTACTCTAATACTCTCTGATTGATATTATAAATGAAATATCATTCAACTACTACAAAAATGATTAAATCCCATATCGACAAGCAGAGCGACGACGAACTGAAGACGAAAAAAAATTTTTTTTAGTTTCTAATAACAATGATAACACCTCATATAATCCTTCTTTTATGGGCGTTTTATATTCATTTGACTGCTTCTACGAGAACATACTATTCCTTTACTCAGCTCATCTCATTTTATAATCACTTTTCTGGCTATGAAACCATTTTAACGATCATTCTTCATGATAGCTAGCTATTCATAACTGTTATGTCTCATCGTCTATCATTCAATTTCTTTTTTTCAAATTAAAAACTTTTCTTCTTTTTTTTTTGTCTTTCATTTTCAATTCAGATGTTTGTCAGTAGTTGGTGTGTGTGTGTGTGTGTGTGTGTATGTGTGTGTTGGTGTTTTCTTTTTGAGATGACAGTCATATCTCGTAATGACAAAAGATTTTTCGTGTCATTTATTTGTCGACTGAACTGGTCAGAGAACGAATGACTGAGAGAAAAAGCATGTTGGAAAGTAAGAATAACTGTAATGCCTTTATATGAAATGAAATTTACAAACACATAACAACATCTGATGGTCTAGTGTATCTGTATGATCATGAGTATGTCTATAGATGGGCATGAGTGTGTGTCTTATGCTGTTTGTGCATCAACTTCTTTCAAATCATGTTCTGTTCATTTTATTGTTTATTAACATTCTATTTTACACCAAACATATAATATGATGAGAAAATTTAATTTGTTCTAAGCATTAATGTTCTTGCTCAGATTGACTGAAAATCACATTATGTTATAGAGAGAGAGAGAAAGAGAGAGAGAGAAAGAGAGAGAGAGAGGGAGATAGAGAGAGAGAGTGTGTGTAAACTTGAAAACATGTTTGAGAATGTGGTGAAAATCATTTTAATTTCACAAAAATTCATATTGTGTATGTGTGTGTATATATGTGTGTGTGTGGACGTGTCAATCATATCAATCGTTGTGTGCTATAGTGATGATGATTGTTGATTGTAGACTGAAGAAGTTGGCGAAATCAAAATAGATGATCTGAAGACAATATTTCGAGAATTTGATTTGAATGGTGATGGATACATTCAGAAGGTATTCAGTCTTATATAATGTTTGGATAGAAATTGATTATATTGGATATTAAAGGAAGAATTGCTGTCTGTCATGCAAAGAATGGGTCAATCGCCAACTGATGATGAACTTGAAGCAATGTTAAATGCTGCAGATAAAGACCAAGATGGACGTATTGATTTTGAAGGTTTCTAGATCGTGTTTCTTGTTTGTCCTTCTATTTTGTGTTTTAAAGAATTTCTGACAGTTGCGTATGCTAATCCATTGTCTCTATCATTAAGAGCAGTCTTTGAAGAATTGGATGTTGATGGAGATGGATATATCACAAGGTATAACTATATCATATATAGTTTTAACATATCTGTCAATAACATATTTACAGATCAGAATTACGAACTGCTTTTCAACGTATGGGACATTCCTTGACTGATCAGGATATCAAAGCTATATATAAGCATGTTGATTCAAACAATGATGGCAAAATCAATTTCAAAGGTATAATAACCATATATAGTCTGTGCAATAATTATATATTAATTATAGAATTCTGCCATATGATGACAAAAAAGAAGTTGTAATTGAAAATATTACCATATAAGGTCAAAATGAACTATATGTTGACTGACCATTTACAGATATATACAGATATATAAAAGAGAGAATATGATTTGAGCATAAATGATATAACTCTCTCTCTCTCTCTCTCTCTCTCTTTCTCTCTCTATCTATCTATATGTATATGAGACTCACTCTTTGGCTGATGTCACTTGAAAAACTTAACAAATCGCGTAATAATTGAATAGTTTATATGATATATATCTATCTATAATTCCTTTTGCTTCTTCTCTTTCTTCGTTTACATGTTCAAATGGATTGAATGTGTATGTGTGTGTGTGTGTGCGTGTGTGTGTGTAAGTTGAAAAAGAGAGTTAAACCTGTTGAATGCTCTGATCATCAGTATTACTCTTCATCTTCCTCCCTCTCCTTCCTCCTTCTCCTCCTCTAACCCCTTCTCCTCTACTACTCTACCATTCTATCCTATCAACAGTATCTATCGATTTTGTGAATCATAATTGAATAAAATGGTTTTTCTATCCAAAATCGTCATAAATTGAATGAGAACATGTTTGAAAAACTTAAATGACATCTTATGTACATAAATAATGGAATACATATAACGATAATAGAAGATAGCTGAGAGATTTATCATCTCATCAACGGTTGAGGTGATTAATTAGAAATGTTCATGCGGATAGTAATCAATTGATTTGAATCGTGATTGCATCTCATAAATGTGCCGATTTGATGTCATAATATGATACCGATGGATATATGTATGATGTTGTTTGCGGCGACCAGTATGGACCAATAGGTGCTGATGTCTAAGATATCAATGCTTCATTCATATTATTATATAATATGATACCGATGCAATTGTATTTGTGGGAATACTTCGTTCTGATCGACTAAGTAGCTGATGATATGCTGGCATGACAGTTCCTGTTATCTTTTGGGGTAATCCTAGATAATCTAATCAATATATCTATTCTATGCATATATTGAATTACCGTTAGGAAATGGAGCTAATGAATTAACCGCTTGAGAAAGTTCCGCATTATTTGCCACTGAGTTTTGGCACGCTTGAGCAAGTCCTTGAAAATCAAACTTATAAGCATATCGTTTTCCGTGAACCTCAAAAAATAATATATCAACATGAATGAACACAGCTAGCTTATGTTACTTTCGTCATTATGTTCTTGTCATAGTAATATCGTAGAGCACGACTGAGCTTATCATAATTCATGTTCGGCTTACTAGAACAGATAGTAAGTTTAGCAGACAGAGGGCAATGCTTTAAACCTTTTACGTTCACCCCATTTACGTGCAACCTCATCTGGATCAATTAGTTTGAATTCCCCATTACCACCTTCCCATGATATGCAATGAGAGTTAGACGAGCCATCTGCCAATAGCTCTAACAAAAACTGCCACAGTTGAATCTGACCACTTCCTAATACTGAAACTGATTTGATTGAAGATAATGAAACAAGATCGATTACAACACAACATGAACAACTCAAGATGATCTAGCGAAGTACACTCTTTAAAAACTTGAAAACCTATTTTAAACATGTTGTTTGACAAACAATTGGACGAACACAGTTTCTTGCATCTCAAATTCTGTTATCATATCCGATCTAGATGAAGTTCAAAGACACTTTCATTCGTTCAACTCCAATCAGATGTTGCGGAAATTAAAGTTTCTCACTTTAACTATGTATAAGGAAAGGGGGGAGGGGAACAGATTTGTTTTCATATGCACGATATCTTTTTTTCCCGCGAAAAATATTTTTGCTTCTAACTCACTCTAGCAAACACAATTTTTGTTTTCATGTTGAGTAAGCGTAAAATCACAAAGATCCAATGATTAGTACTTATTAAGATGTAAAACGACATTTACCTGAGTTGAATCTAGCTTGCTCCGGAAGCGGTATCGAAGCGTCCCAATTACTTCGTTGACACAGATTGTCGTAATTATCTGAAAAATCATAGAATCAAGAAAGCAAGATAAATATAATAAAAATTCCCAATGATGTTCAATAACCATGAATGAGAAGTTTTCAAAACTACGCCTTCTGGGCTTTTCATTCATTTCAAACATGATGGCGGATGTAGGTGAGAGTAGGAAAAGGCAATGAGAAGTTAGTATGCAGCTTCCTTTTCCATTGATATTATATAAAAAAAAAGTAAACTTACTCAATGCGGGATACATGAATGATTTCAGGAAATTGTTTTTGAACAGCAGAACTGCTTCAAGCCAACTCTTACTTCTAAAAATTTCTAAGGCAACCTTGAGTGATTTCAATTTCTGAATTGTAAAGGCAATGAAAGAATGAATGAATAAACTCAGAAAATATAACGAAAACAGAAGAGAATTCAATGAAAACATGTGAGAAAGTTGAATGCACGAAGTTGTGCCAGCTCTCTGGACCACAGATATATGGCCATTAAAAAGGTGCACCGTTGTCCGGAAGCAGACGGCATAGAGGCATCAAAAGAAATGGAGAAAGCTTTTCATAGACATGGTAATTTTTGGATTGCAAATAGCATTAGATGTAAAGAGATTCAGAAAAAAAGACATCTTGTAGCCGATAATGTATTAGGCGGAGCGAGTTAATAACCGTAAAAGGTAAGTCTTAATATGAGAAGTCACTAATGCCAACTTCCTATTTCATCAACATTTCCGGTACAAGCATTAGCGTTAATGGCTTTTGCGTTCACCAACGTTACATGTCTATCTGGAGACGACGTAATCATATCATATATAAATATATATAATATATAATATATGTATATATACGGATATAATTATTGTTTGTTTTTTTCATCCTCCACTTCCATATTTGGGATATAACGACTGAGAGTTAAATCTTTCAAAGTAGAGAAGCATTTTATTTCTCAACTTCTCTCTCTCTTTCTCTCTCTCTCTCTGTGTCTCACTCTCCCATTCTCATTTTGAAAAAAAAAGTTAAAAAGCTTTTCTCCAACAGAGTCTCAATAGAAGATAGCTCTTTACTTCTCCTCGCACTCTCTGTAATATATATTATAAAATATATGAATATATGCAAAAATCGAATATTATATTGTATATCATATATATTATATTATTTAAAAGTTTTCTGATGACCATTTTTGTCTCTCCCTACATACACTTTCTCATTCAATAAGTTCTAATCGTTACTAACCCATACCCTCCTCCCCTTTAGTCGACTTCTAACATTCTTTTGCTGTTTAAAGAAAAAAAAGGTTCATTCATTACTCTTTACTATAAATTGAAAGCAAAAGAATATTTATTTTTAAAATATATGAGAATGAACACATTATGTCTGGAAAGTGTTGAAAATGAAAATTGTTCATCGGTGTGTGGAGCTCTAAATGATCATACTAGGATCACACAAATAATATTATTCTCTCTTAAAAAATGAGATTATTTCTTTTACCATATGTATAGTTAGTAATTTATATTTCATAACTGAGTGATGAGGAAATTCATCTTGTCGAGATATTATTAGACTACTGATAACTATGTGAAGGGAGTTGAGGATGATGCTGCCAGCTATCGCGGGATGGGCCAGCATGTTCCTGATATAAAGGACAACATATAGAGATGTTCAAACACCCGTGATACTTTTATCTAAAGAGCATTGCATTGAGTAGTCTCATGTTTCCATCTAGTAGTTAAACTTCAAGTCATCGTATGGACAGTATACGGTAACCATGAAATCCTAATCACAACACATAACAATACACGGCTGTCAGGAATGCTTTTATTTGAATAAATATCAAAAAAACCATATAATTCTTTAAAAGTTCATAAATACATTATGAAAACAGGTTCATATTAATACATGAAGGGAAAGTAAAAGGAAAATGATACTGAATAGGGTTTTATAAGATGAAGCAATGTTCTCGAAATGTTCTTCTCTGCTCCACATTGACTTGACTCTTTGTACACTTTTTAATTCACTTAAACGATCAAGATTATATGAAGAAAAAGATTTGAAGTAAACATACAATGTATAATGAACATGAATGGGTTGAATGTGATATCCTTTCTTACGAAGAATATGAATGATGTTTGATTTACCCAAAAAATGCCCTTAAATGGTTTTGTTCAAAGAAGAAGCTGATGATGACTGTACCTAATCCAACGGCAGTAAAGAACACTTTATCTGATCTGCTGGTGAAGTAGTCGTCTATTCTATCAGCTAAAACAATATTTCTTTTCACAATAATGTCCTGCTTGATTGCTTTGTTGATCTAAACACTCCACTCAGATACGTTTCGGAAAAAAACAATTACCTTATCAGCTCTATTACGTTCTTCAATTGTCAAGTTCACACCTGGGAATGCAAGCTGGTCTGAATGACTAGCATACTGATCGAACTTTCCGCATTTGTAATTTTCTATGAGTGTACGTATCTGCTCTTCATGAGTTGGACTGTACATATTTTTATTCTTCCTCATATGTTCCAAAAATGTAACTGTCTGAGTTATAGCAAATATGATCTGAAATGAAATGTATGATGTCGGAAGCTTCAGAGTTGTTTACATCATCTGTTGAAAGAGATGATATTGGCTTGCACTGCTCTTCCACGGTCTCAATAGATCCAACACTTTTATAATTTTCAATCGCCTGAACGAATGTTCGTATAAGATTAGAGAGATTCTTCAATTCTCACACTTTGAGCTAGATAAACATCCAATATAGGCGATTTGCTTTGCCAGTAACTCATAAACAGGTGTTGCAAAATGAAAAGCAACCACTCAGGTCGTTTTCTCTGCCAGGTGACTGGAAGGGCCTTGATAACTATCGATTATCCCTCATAACTTACTGGTTCTTTTTTTTTTGTTCCTACCACCTACAGTTTTCATAAGCTTACTACGGTCGCTGTTCTCATATATTTTCATAACTGAAGCACATGCTATATATGGTAAAGTAACATCCTCACTCACTTGTTTCAATTCGTTCATATAAAGATGGTGACAGATATGTGCGAGCAGTCTGTTTACTCGGTAAATTTTTACATTTAGCTAGCTTAAAGAGTGTCTCATTGTCATGTAGATTCAATTCCAATAGTACAGAGTCAGACATCGAAAAAGCTTCTTTGACTTTTTCGGACACTAAACATCATATTTTCATTATTTTCGTTAGTGTTTTCATGCTCTATGGTTATCGGTACTAAGAAGTAGAGCCAAACATGAGTATGGGTTGTAACTTTGAATTAAAACAAAATTCTACCTGAGTCCCAGACATCTGTATAGGGTACATGTATAGTTCCAAATAGAAAACCTCTTAAGCCCTTCTGTTCATCAGAAATAGACCATAAAAACGTATTTCGAGAATTCTGAAGAATGCGTGGGATTAACAAGCCGTTCGTCGCTTAAGACCAACTTCATCTTCCAAGCATTGTGTTCGAATAAGGTTTGGAAACATTAAAAGAAGTATAAGAGAGATGTACATTGTTTGAATGAAGAAGTAGCACAACTATGATCTGAAAATAGAATTGAAGTCAATTGTTGAAGTAAAAACTATTTTAAAAAGATGATTCTTCTTCTATATTGAAGATTTGGTGGCTTCCTGTGGTGTGTAAATAAAGAACATTAAACATTCTCATATTTAAAGGAAAGTATTCATACAAAATACAAAGGAAACATATGGCTGAGCGCTTATGAGTATTGAGAATGAGTATGACAATTATTTGAAGGAAGAAGGCGTCGAAAGGTTCAATATTTTTCATATTTGAATGCCATTGTCATAACAATCTATATATCTGAACAGGAAGCTATTTGACAGATGATTGTCCCAATTACTCATGAATAAAGCTATTTATAAGAAGAGCTTGCATCTTCGTGTAAACGTCTTTGAAGCTTTCAAACAAAAAATGTTCAGAAAAAAAGAATGAAAAACGTCGTTGTGTTAAGACAACAGTAATAAACATGTGGATATGTATATTTATATATTAAATAAACAATAGAAACTCTTAACCAATAATATAACAAAAGCTATAGTGAAGACAATGAGAAGAGGAAAGAAAGACATTCT